AACCATCCGATAGCTCTCATGGCCGTGACTCATGGGATGTTTCAAAATGAATGTTCTGGTTAAGAGATCAGAGTTGTCACACCAGGGGTGCCCAGTTTCATGATGACTCTGGGGCCACATCTGCAAACGCCACTCTTTAATCACAGTAGACACGTGGCTGATGGCTTCCCTGTCACATAGCCTCACAAAGCGTGTCCTTGGAAACATCAGTGGGCTCAGGTGTCAGAGATGTGGGGGGCCACGGAGTGGCTCTATGCCAAGGCTCCCCTCACAGGACATGAGGGGAGCATAGCGTTGGCTTTATCAGGACAGTGCCCACTCACACGGTCGGCACGTGCTCTTGTTCTCTCTGCAAAGAGAAGCTCAAGGGAGGAATCTGTCCAGTGAGCAGGTGAAATCTGGGAGGGCTTCCTGGAGGAGTCCTTGGGTCAGACTGGGATAGCACCAAGGAAGGAGGGGAGACTCAGCTGCAGAGCTCATAGAAATCTAGGAGTTGGGATCACATGGAAATTGGCTTTGCTGGTGGCTGTCAATGACCTCCTCCTGGAGAGTTTGTAAGCCCACTGCTGGAACCCATCCTTGTGTCAGAGAGGGACCCAATTAGTGATCAATCAGTCCGTTAAGGATTAGAATTACAGGTCAATCCATGACTTTCCCTCAAAGCAGAGAATCTCAAAATAAAAGAAGTTCGGGGGAACCCAGGTCAGCTCCTACCCCACCACCATGTTGCTGATGGATCCTGAGCCCGCCCCTTGCCTTCCCCGGCCATCTGTCCCTGGATGGAGTTTACAGATGCTCCGGGAAGTGAAAGGGAGGGCAGACATTAAAAGTGTGTACTGTCAGGTTCTATTTATACAAAGTTCAAAAGCAGCCAAGACATCTTGAAAGGAAAGGAAGCCAGGATGTTGTTTGCCTTTTTCTGGGAAAGGTGGGGACAAAGATAAGACACTCCAGGTGGCTGGCCATGTCTGTCTGTGGGGCTGGGTGCTGCTCACACTTTCTGGAAATCCACTTTGGGTTCACACACTTTTCAGTATGTATTTTATACTTTGATGAAAAATGTGCTTTTTAAAAAAGTGCAAAGTTTGCCTGCCTCTGGCTTTACTCCAACTGAGGAGACTTTCCAGCTCTCCTGGATGTCCTCAGACTGCTAACTGGAAAGAAATGATGACTTTTCCTCTGTGGACAGAGGCAACAGCTTTGCTTACATTTTTTGTTTTCCTACAAGGAAATGTTAAATTTAATTCTGGCCAGTCTATTTGTTTTTCTAAATTAACCATTGCCAGAAAACAGACTGTGGGTGCTGAGGGGAGCGTGTGTGCGTGTGTGTGTGTGTGTGAGTGTGTGTGAGTGTTTCCTTCCTATAATATTATACTTAGCAATGAAAATAAGTTGGAAGATGTTCATACACATCTAGCTAGGCAGAGAAACTTCCCTTTCCCCTTTCTTTCCATCAGTGTCCCTGGCATAGAGTGAGTGTTCAGTAACTATGTGTTGAATGCATAAAACATTGAAAAAAATCAATGGATAAAAGAAAATAGGAGAATAAGAAAGGCTTGGACCTGTGTCTTTATTTGCAGGCATTATTCAAATACCTTCCCTTGTGGCTTGTTTTCTGGACATTGCTAAGAGAGATCAGAAAAGAGGCATCTGGTCTATTTTTACACCATCACTGCCCCAAGCCCTCCCGATGTGGATGCTGGGCTAGCCAAGACCACATCCAGCGCGGCAGTGTGGCTTGTCCCCAGGGCTCACAGGACCCCCCTTCCCCAGCTCAGATTCAGGTGCCTTGGCCCACTGCCACACGTTATCAAAGTACAGTCCCTTTGGGGAAGTCCGCATCTGGTGATGGCCTCAAAATGTCCACTCTGAGCACTGGGAGACTCCTTAATAAATCACTCTGCCATTTACATTACGTCACCAATAGTAGTAACTTTAAAAACTGGGCCAAAGGGTCAGCTTCCTTGATTCTCATTCCTAAGCCTACACATTGTCTCCCAGAGGCAGCTGTCTCATCTTTTAATGCCCCATGGCACATCCCTGTTGGCGGCCACAGAAGCATGGCTAGCTATCCCCCTTGGCCTCACTGAACTGTGTAGTTTAGTTCCCCTGGTGACCCGGCTCTGGCCCAGGTCTATGAGCAGAGATGCCTTCTCACTGCCCGGGCCTTCAGGCCACCAGCCCCATTGGGCCAGCAGCCCTGAGGCCCTGCCCTGCTACGGGTCAACCCCAGGGATGGGGCTGGCCAGGACGGGGTTGGCCAATACAGAGCAAGGGAACCACCACCGCTCACTGCCATGTCTGGGGTAGACATCGCTAACCCACCAAGACGTAATTTCTCCCTGAGTCTAGAGAAAGCCTTAGAACCCTTCCTTGTCCAGAACACCAAATGGGCACCTGCCACGAGTCACCTGCCTCTGAGCCCCATTACTCTTAGTTGCTACAGACAAGGCATTCTCTGAATTTTACTTCAGCCTATGAAGACCCACTTCTGTGAGGGGAACCAAGCTACGTGAGAACGATGGATGGGAACTCATCACTCAGTAAGCCCTTCCGTGCACAGCACGGTGCCGGGAAGCGAGGGCTGAGATGAAGGCCCACACCCCCTTCCTTCAAGCTGCTCATGATGCTCCTGGGGGTCAGGACGCAGGTACCACCATGTGGTCATAAGGGAAATGGTCACAGAGGCTCTCCAGAGAGGCCTCGCCATGCACAGAGTGGCAGAGTGGGTAGAGCAGCCTGGGGTCAGGAAGCAGGAGCAGCAAGTTCAGGAGATAACCGAGGTTCAGGAGACTGGGGTCCCCGGGCACATGCATTTGGGAGGTGGAAGCCATCGATGAGGGAGCACCTTAAAGGTGCCCCTGTTCTGGGGCAGGAGACCTGGGATGGGAGGAGAACCACCTATAATCCTAAAAATGGGCACATGGTCCTCAAGGTCGGGGGTGGGCCCGGATGACTACAGTGAAAGGGCACCGAGGCCCAGATGGTGCGTCTCCTCTGGGGTCACAGAGCTTGCTGGAGGGGAGCTGGAGGGAAGACAGGCCCCTGGGATTCCCTCCTGCGCTGTGTCTGAGAACATGGGGCCAGGAGGAGGTATGGACACCAAAAGGAAACTCACAAGTGGTTTCTTACCAGGTACGAGGTGGCATCGGGGGCTCGGGAAGTGCCATGAAGGGAGGTTTGGGCTCAAAATGGAACCCAGTGTAGATGCGAGAGAAATGGAAAAGCTAATGACAGAGGGGAGGAGCCTGGGGACCCCAGCTCAGGAAACCCAAGGACACTCCCCAAACTCCGCGGAGGGGGCTACACACCTGAGAGCCTCATTCCCAGTGTTTCTCCCACATTAAAAACACAGTTTCCACATCCCAGCTCATTTCCTACCTCCTGGTTCTAAGCCGTTTCCAGTATGAGTGCTAACTTGGAGCCAAATAGCAAGTTTTCCTGGTGCGTGTGACTCATAGGAAAAAGTGTCTTTTGGGCTATTAAAAGAGTGGGGGGGTTGGTTTAAGCATTTGTGTTCAAAGCAAATTATATAGAAACTAAGCAAAGTGCATGTCATTCTGGCACTGACTACCGCTTTCCCCAAATAATGAGGCAGGAAAAGTGAGCTCTGTAGTTAACATCGTGCACAGATGTTCCAGAAAAGGATTAAATGCGTCAGAACAATGCAAATGAAAACTTGGCTTAAACAGGTCAATCCGCTGATGAGTATGGGGCAGATGTGTTTATCTGTGAAACTCATACGTGTACAAGAAACGGAGCCTCTGGGCTTCCTGGGACACACTGGATGGTGCCTGGAGACCCCCTTCCTGCCAAGGTGGGGGGCAGGCTCCTCAACCGGACAGTGACGGTGATGCCATCAGTGACTTCCTCCAGGCAGAGCCTGAGGACCACCTGGGACTATCTTTGGCGACAGGACCCCCACACCCCACAGCCAGCCTGTGTGATAGACGTGAGTGTATTCACAACGTATCAATTGAGGCTAGAGACGTGCAAAACGGAGCCAGTAAACCACCAATTTCAGCCTCTCCCGACCCTGCCCCGCTGCCCCCAAGCTACCACAGCTTAACGGGGGACTCTTGATTGAACAGAGAGAAAACTCACAACAGACAGCAGAGCAGGGAGGGGAGGACACACTGTAGGTCCTCAGCTAACAAAAACACTGAACCTAGAGGCAGCCTCAGAATCTTTCTTAACCCGGCATGCAGGGAGCTTTACTGAACCAGCTGGAGCGGACGCAAGAGGGGAACCCTATCAGCCACCCTAGGAATGGGCAGCAAAATGCCTTGGGATTCAGCAGACCTGAGCTCAAGTCCGACCCCGTCACTTGCGTCATCTCTGACAAGATAGTTCATCTCCACCTTGAGTTTCTCCATCTGTAAAATGGGAATAAAACCAGCCCCAGAGTCCAACTGAGATTACAAATACAAAGTGCCATTATCAGAATTACGGCACTTAACACGTAATTAAATGGTGTCCATTAAGCTGAAATGACTGTTTTTGACTGCTCTTTTGAGATCTAGAATTTCTAGAATTCATAAGTTTAGAGAGTATAAGAAACTGAGCTAATTCTATGAAAGCTTTGTGCATTCAAATGCTTTTCCATTTGTCTAGGAAATTCACGATGTCATCTGCTCTCATGAAACATAAGGGAGGATGACCTGGTCTCATTTAGACACATTTTAAACATGATGTTTTGAAGGTTTGGTAATAAATTTTTCTGAATGAAGGGAGTACTTTGTACATCATGTCTTTTACTGGACAGAACAAGAGTTCAGAAGCACATGGTTATCTCAGGTTATAACACCTATATATTCGCATTTTCAAGTACTCCAAGGGCTCCAAGGATCCTGATAACCTTAAGTCCCATAAAGAAAATTGCATTCAGTGCACTCTGGGTGATGCTATGAAAAATCGTATCCCTGAGGCTTTTGCTCCAGGATATTATGAGTGTAAAAACCAGCGTATATGCATTTCATCAATCTGCACGGTTACGTTACCTTTTAAAAAACGCCAGCACAGTTTCATGCACCGGAACCGTCTGGATTTTGTGGTTCAGTTGCAAGAAGACCCACAAAAGTAGTGTTTTCAGAAGATGAAACTCATTAAAAGTGAACAACCTGGCCAAAATGAAAGAGAAGAAATTTGAGGAGTAGCAACAACTCAGGCCATTTGTAAGAAAAAACAGAAAGTTAAGAGTGAGTTTAGGAAAGAGGCAACACCACCCCTGAGTCTGCAGGTCACTTCAGACAAAGAGATGTTAAATGACGTTCTCAAGGTCATGTTCTCAGGGTCACGGGACCCAGTGACCCATCGGTGATCCTTAGTGGGAGCTGGGATGTGACCCTAAGCAACCTGCCCCCCACCGGCTGTGGTGCCAAGCCAATGGCCGGCTTCAAAGAGACAGGAGTGCCCGAGATGTTTTCATCTGTTCTTTCATTTAATTCTGTACAACAATCCTGCAAAGTTGGGGTATGTTCCTTACTTATATAGATAAATTCAGACTGACCCTATATTTATTTAAAATTTTAATATTTCATTCATTGTGGTTTTTGCATTAATTTTGATTTTAAAATACTGCACCACAATATACTTATCACAGCAGCTGAGGTCTTTTGGAGCCCCTCTTAAGTTTTGCACTGAGATAAATGCCTCCATCATCACTTCCTAGTTCCAGCTGGGACTGAGGGCAACGTAACTGAGTTGAGTTCGCAGGACTGTGGGGGCAGAGCTGGGCAGGGGTCAGTCCAGCCCCAGGATGGCCATGGAGCCTCCCGCAGATGCTTGTATCCATAGACAGTGGTGACAGCAGGTGCTAAGGTTTCCTTAAGTGGCATGCTGTTTCCTGTCACTGCTCTAACAAACCACCATGAACCAAGTGGCTTAAAACAACACACATTTATGGTCTTATGGTTCTGGAGGTCAGAAAAACAAAACGGAGCTCACTGGGCTAGGATCAAGGTGTGGACCACATTCTTTCTGGAGACTCTACAGAGAACCATTTCCTTGCTTTTTCCAGCTTCCAGAGGCTACCCACATTCGTGGCTTACGGCCCCTTCCTCCGTCCTCAGGCCAGCAGCACAGCACCTTCCAATCTCTTTCCAGCTCTCACTTTCCTGCCTGTGGTCTTCCACGTGCAAGGATCCTTGTGATTACACTGGGTCCACCCAGGCGATCCAGCACACCCTCCCCAGCTCAAGGTCATCCGTCTGCAACCTTCCTTCCCCTTTGCCATGCAACCGAATATATTCACAGGCTCGGGTTGGAATGTGGACATTATTGAGCCAATGACATACACAGAGATCATTAGCGCAGGGCCTGGCATGGAGGAGTGAGCTAACGAACCGCACCGCTGACTCCCAAGTGACAGGGCTGGGTCCTGGCTGTGGAGCCCACGCTTTGCCCGCAGTGACATGAGACTTCTTATCTAGAAACAAGTGGTGAGGAGGAGTGTCACTCCCTACAACGTCAACTCTGTAAATTAAGGAGGTCTCCCGGAGAGCTTCTCCAAAGCCTCCCACCAGCTTGATTATCTAAGAAGTCATTCCAGCCGGTCTTAATACCCTTGATATTTCCCACCATGAGCACAGGGATGGCATGTTTGGCTCCCTAACCTATCAGAGCCTCTGCGTCCACCACTTTGAGTGGTCTTGGTGGGTGGGTCCCAAGCTAAATGTGACTCTAAAGGAAGTGGAAAGGTCACCCACCCACCTTTCACACTATTTCTGGCCACAGGAGAATGTCTCTTTGCTTTTGTTTTCAGGCCACCTACAGATGCATGGGCTTTGATGCTGGTTAGACAGGATCAAATTTGTCACTGTCTGGGCAATGAGGGTGAGAAGGGATGGGGGATGTCACAGAGCCTGTTAGTACATGATGTGCCCACACAGAACTCCGCCAGTCCACCAACCAGCTCTGGTTGGGGAGCTGCGTGACGCCTGGTGCAGAATCCAAGCCCCAGGTCCCTAAACCTGGAGGTTCTTTGGGACTTCACCAAAGAGGAGCCGGCAGCAGCAGGGGAGGAGTCCCTGGGGCTCCATGAATCAGGGTCCTGGTTTTACTTTTTTTTTTTTTTTTTTTGCGATGAGGATGAGATACGCCTGGTTTTACTTTTATTATGAAGGGTAATTGTTCAAATAAAGTCCTCTGTCTTTAAAGATTTATTTATTTGAGAGAAAAAGAGTGTGTGCGTGCGTACAGGCGGGGGAGGGGTGTCAGGGCAGGCTCCGCACTGAGCGTGGAGCCTGACACAGGACTAACTCAGGACCTTGAGATCACGACCTGAGCTGAAACCAAGAGTTGGACGTTTAACTGACTGCACCACCCAGGTGCCCCAGCCCCTCCATCTTTAGGCCAAGTTCCAGTCCCCTGAAGTACTGGTTCCTGCTGAGGACATTCTAACATATTTTCATTTACTCAAGAGCTCTGATGGCCTCACAGAACCCAGAGATCCTAAACTTCCCTCCAGCACAGGTGAACATCTGGGCTGTTCTACCTGTGTTTACGGGTGCTCAGTAGTAGCCATTGGGAGGTAAGTGGTATTTGTTCAAGAGAAAAATGTTAACAAGACACTGCTTGCCTTTTTTTTTTTTTAAAGAAAATTATACATAAATAATAAGGGCCCCCCTTTGAGTACAGACTATGAAGAAAGCTGTATCAGGGCAAATAAGAAAGCATGAACAAGGATCCCGAATAAATAAAAAAGCAAAATAAAACAAATGGCTCTTAGAAAGGGAATGAAAAATTGCTCTCTATCCATTCACTGGAAGCCTGCACAACTTCAAATTGAAAATGCTAATTAGATAAGTAAGCATCGACATGGAGAGAACACAGCTCCTTGTGTCAGAAAACGAAGGAGGCTGGAGAGCACTACGGTCACGATGAGAACATTGATTCGAAGTTTAAGGTTTTTTTTTTTTAAGATTTTATTTATTTATTTGACAGAGACCACAAGTAAGCAGAGAAGCAGGCAGAGAGAGAGGAAGAAGCAGGGTCCCCGCTGAGCAGAAAGCCCGATGCAGGGCTCGATCCCAGGACCCTGAGATCATGACCTGAGCCGAAGGCAGAGGCTTTAACCCACTGAGCCACCCAGGCGCCCCTGAAGTTTAAGTTTTTACGAAACGATATTACACATTATTTATAGACACGCACATATGGAGTAAGAATACAATCACAGGACTGGGTTCATGCAGGCCCGGGACAATGGTCTGATTGTCTTGGGGAGGGGTAGAGGCCAAGAGGATGCTGGGAAGGGAGCATGGTCGATTCTGCTTTGTTGGTGATGTTTTCTTTCTTATGACAAAATGTCACTGTTCATTTTGGGAGGGAGGTCCAATTGTGTGTTCTAGTCGCCTCCTAACTTTAAAATTGTTTTACAATAAAAACTAACCATCAATATCCTTATTGATCTTGATTATCAATAGGGAAAAATTAGTCCTCATGCAGAGCACAGCGGTGGGCCGGGGTGGTGATCACCGGGGCTTTGAGGCCACTCAGACCTGTGTTCAAATCCCAACTCTCATGCTGCGTGCAGGGAAACTGGGGCAGTCCTTTCATTTCCTACACGTGAAAACGCAGGTAACAGCATCCACCTCACTGTGTGGCTTTAGGAGTTAGGCCAATAACCCACTCAAAGTGTCCTGTATACAACAAGTGCTCAATAGTTGCCATTAGCCAGAGAAGCATCAGCTTCAGGAAGAAACTGTTTGAGAGCCATGCCCTATGGTGCTCCAGATGTTGTGGAACTGGCTCACCATGGAGGACAAGGGTGACTTCTCCTGGGAATTCCTGAGCCCTCAGGACTGATGGTGTCATGGGTAGGAAGCCCAGGAGAAGTGGACAGAGCCTGGGCTGTAGGGCGGCTTTCCATGTAGATAGGAACTGGACAGCTGGCGGAGTTTTCCACTTCTAAGTCTACCAGGAGCTTGGCTTCCAGAAAAGCAGAAGCTGGAACGAAGCTTTCATAGTATTGGAGTTCATGGAACAGGGTAACCTAGTGCTGACCTCTGAAGAGAAAGTGAACTGGCAGCTGAAGGCCCAGGCGAAGAAATGAAACACCAGAGTCCCCAGAGGTCAGGGAAGCGGTGTGTAGTTTACGCAAGGCTGTTTACGAAACCCAGAGGAAGACCAGGTCAAAGGGGCTTCAGATCGAGAAGGTGAATGGCCCAGAAGCTGAAGCATCTGCTGAGATGGACGTTGTTCCCACGAGGCTTAGAGACCCACACACCATGACCAGAAGCTGGGGGACGGGCCGCTGTCTACCCTAAGTGGGCCGAGGGGGATGGGCCATCCCTGACCCCTCACGTGCTGGCATTTCCACACAGTCCCTCTGGGGCCATGTGACTTGCCAGGACAACCCAGCTGAGCTCTGGCTGCTGGGCAGCGTGGCCTCTGGAACAAATGACGAGACAGTGTAGTGTGGAGGGAGGGAGCCTGGACTTTGGAGCCTGAGCTCTGGGCTTGAGCCAGCCCTACGTTTTATTGTCTCTCTTATCCTTGGGACACTAACTGCACCTGTCACACAGGGCTGTGGGGCTTGAAAGGGACGGTGCACAGAGCAGGGCACCTACCCCAACGGGCTCAATAAACGTGAACTCATCTAAAGGTTCTTTTTTTTTTTTAATTAACATATATTATATTATTAGCCCCAGGGGTACAGGTCTGTGAATCGCCAAAGGCAAGGGAAGCAAGGGCAAAAATGAACTATTGGGACTTCATCAAGATCAAAAGCTTTTGCACAGCAAAAGAAACAGTCAACAAAAGCAAAAGACAACTGACAGAATTGGAGATATTTGCAAATGACATATCAGATAAAGGGCTATTATCCAAAATCTATAAAGAACTTATCAAACTCAACACTCAAAGAACAAATAATCCAATCAAGAAATGGGCAGAGGAGATGAACAGACATTTCTGTGAAGACGACATCCAAATGGCCAACAGACACATGAAAAAGTGCTCCATATCACTCGGCATCAGGGAAATACAAATCAAAACCACAGTGAGATACCACCTCACACCAGTCAGAGTGGCTAAAATTAACAAGTCAGGGGATGACAGATGCTGGCGAGGATACGGAGAAAGGGGAACGCTCCTCCCTCCTACACTGTTGGTGGGAATGCAAGCTGGTGCAGCCGCTCTGGAAAGGTTTGTTCTTAATCAGCTGTGGTCCAAGATGGCAGACCCACCAGCCAACCAGCGTGCCCAGGTGAGGCGCCCGAGCCTGGGTAAATGTCTCAGACCCCACCAGGCACCAGGTATGGCCAGGCCCCGATTTCCAGCACCTTCTGTTCCCCACCTCCCTCCAGCTTCAAAGCAGGTGGGGGCTAACAACACCACAGCGACCCGCGACCGAGGAGAATCTGCATGGGGGAACGTGAACAGGAGGTCAGGGCGCTGCCAGCTGAAAGCCTCCAAGGCACAAAGGCTGATGACTTGCTTGAGGCCACGCAGGGCCCTTTCCCCTGTCGCTGGGATGGCTCTGGACCGTGTGTGTAGACAGCTCCTGGGGAGCGGCGGGAGGAGCAGGACCCTGTTCCCACATCAGTCATGTCTCCCCAAGCTTGTGCGTCTAGACGCTTGACGTGGTATGTACTTGACCTCTTTTCCTGCCTCATGTACATTTTGTAAGGCCCATTCCATCACCGAGGCTCTGGCTGTGGTCAGACAATTTTTCCCTGTTCTTGGTTAAATGCTACCAGGGTGCGACAGCTCAGTCTTTCCAAGGGAGGGACAGTGTTAGGAAAAGTCTAAGGGATGCCATGTTTATCTTTTCTTCAATGCTTGTGTAACCTTTGCTCTGCTGGAGGGTGGGGGAGGGCACATGTGGGGGGGTGAGGAAGCAGCAGGGAGTGGGGCAGAATGACACCAGGAGGCTGCCCAGATTCCCCGGGGCGCTCCTGATAATACGGTCTCCCTCAACATTAGAACTCTGTTCTAACAACCTCATTACTCTTTAAGTGTGAGAACATCGCAAGCCACTCGGTAAATTCAAACCAACAGTGGAATGAATCTGTCCAGATCTGATTTCTGAAATCCGATTGCTTTCTATGCCATGAGCAGGAGTAGACATTTCATCTCTGACATAACGGCTACAAAGTTTAGTAGGATTTACTTCTCGCTTTTGAAGTTCACCCCAAGGGGATACAATCCTGGTAACTTGGCAATGACCTTGTAAGGAGGTCCAAAGATCCTGACAGGTAAATACAGCCTGTCACCCTAAACCAGAATGTTCTAAAGGAGAGTGCCGGGCCAGTGACGTCAGCTATTAACATCAATGCCGCCTCGCGTATGGTTGGTAATTGCACTGTGGTCACATTAAAAAGTTCTTTTTATCAGCAAATAAACACGGAAGCATTTAGGAGAAACTGTAGCTGGTGTAGGCAACCTGCCCCCAGAGGCTTCAGGAGCAAGACGTGGGTACGAAACTCCGCACAGATGCAGATAATTGAGCAAATAGCAGAGATTGAACAAAACAGGGTAAAGGGTATATAAATATTCTTTGTGCCATTCTTACTATTTTAAGTTTGAAATTATTTTCAAATAGACTATGTTTAAAAATACTTTTCACTTGTGACAAAACCAGAAAGCCCTTTTGACTTCGTTAATGGCACGTCTAGAAATCTAATGTGGGAAAATAGTCTGAGATAAACACACGTACTTTGAAGGAGAGATCACCACGGTACTGTATTTATTTTGGTAATACACTAGAAATAACCTAAAAGGTCAAGCACTGGGGATGTTTCCATGAATGACTCGAAGGACCAGAAGGAGCCAGCCAGAAACCAGGCATTTCGGGCAGGAGGGAGAGCACACCTGTGTGTGGCAGGTGCTCAGCGGGGCTGGAGTCTCAGGTGGCCCCATGGATGTCTCGTGGCTGCTGAGACAGAGGGACAGATGTGTGCACCAGAGGCCCTTGGGCTAGAGACGTTCTCAGTGGGGGTCAAGAGCAGACACAAGACCCTGACTTAGAGGTCCCTGCAGTGGTCCAGAGAACAGCTGATGGAGGTCTAGGCTCTGGCTGGTGCCCAAGAAGAGAAGCCCGTAGAGATGGGCTGGGTGCGGGAGTGTTACTGACGCACTCAGGGTGAAGGCGAAGTGGGTGTGGAAGCGTTCCCAAGGTTCTAGCTTGAGCAGCTGGTGAAGGAACACAGGGCGGGGCCCCAAGGGTTGGCTGTTAGCTTGAGCTGTCAGGTCAAATGCATGTCTGGGTCAGAGCTGTTCGGGAGAGGAGTCAGAGCTAAAGATAGAAACTGACTTAGGATAAGAGGTTTTATTTTCTGTTTTCTGATTTTCTCTATTTTCCCTTTACCACCATGAATGTGTATTAATGTTGCCAGGATCTTTTAAAATTACATGGGCAATTATTGAATTAATTACCATGTGGGTAACGAGACAGCAGGCACCCAGAGCATCCCTACCCCAGTGAAGGAGTGTGAAGGGGGTCCATCCCCACCCCACCCCCCAGCACTCCACGTTTTAGCCCCCACCTGGGGCTGGCTGTCCAGGAGGGAGGGGAGTTTGGGAAGGAGCGGGTGCTGAACACTGGGCCTGGCCATCAGGGGTACGGGGGTGCCCCTCTTGAGCACCTCCCTTCCGGGACCAACCCAGGATCCCCTCGGGGACAACTCCTGGTCCCACACACAGCACCCCTGGGGACCAGCTCTGACCTGGGGGACCGAAGCACTTTGTGGAGCAGCTCCTGCGGGATTTTCCGGAGGTGGATCTGCGTCCCCACCAGAGGGACCAAGTTCATTTCCAGCCACTTCTCACAGGCAGTGGTGAGCTGCGCTTCCTTATACTGAGAAGGACCAGAAAAGCCAATGGGTTAAGAGATCCCTGAACTCCCAGCGCCCTCTGCTGGCCTGTAACGACACTACAAGTAGGCTCCCGGACGTGTCCTGCTGTAGACACACTCAAACCTTTTCTTCCAAACACACAAAATGCAGCAGATAACATTTTTGGAATGTTTTCTATGCTCCTGGCCATGCACCAGATTGATTTAAGTTAATCCTCACCATAATCCTGTGTGGTCGGTTCCTTATTATCCCTGTTTTTACTGATGGAGAAACTGAGGCTCCAAGATGGCTGCTCTTGCCAACGATCCAAAAACTAGCAAGTGGCAGAGCTGGGAGCAAACCCTGGTGGTGTGACCACAGGGTGGCACGCTGAAACCACGGATCGTGGAAGGGCCCGCAGGGTGTACCCCAAAGGGAGGCTGGTCCAAAGAAAAAAGTCCAAAGAAAACGACAACGGTCTCCCAGGGACGGACCTGAACAAGGTCTTAGTACCCCTTGCATGTCCTCGGAGTGACAGTCCTTCCCAAGCCAAAGAGTGGCTGAGAAATGCTGACCAGAGCGCAGAGACGCTGCCCACAGAGTGACGTTTTAGTGCCTGATGGAGTGAAGGTGAGGGCACTGCATTATCTTTGACAAAAGAGGCAGTGAGTGCCTTCTTAGAGGCCATCACAAGGGCACTCTGACATGCCGATTGTGTGCGGACTGAACTTGGCAGTCAGATGGACCTGTTTCCAGGTCAATGGCGACCTCACAGAGGAAGGCTGGGATCGGACGGCCTGGGGTTCGAGCCCAGCACCGCAACTCAGAACTGACCCTGCTCTGTTTGCTCCCCTCCTTGGGTCTCAGTGTTCTCCTCTGATAATGTGACCCTTAAGATGACATAATTTATTCCCAGTACTGACACAGTGACTGGCCCCAGGCAGGGAGACACACATAATTTCACCTGACTCCAACAAGAACGTCCTGGAAGATTGCCTGCTATTTTGGGTGAGAAAGGCTGTGCTTTTATTTGCCCTCCTAATTTTTAAGGCTTTTTAATTTCTCATTTAAAAAAAATTTTTGGTTTTAAAATGTCCTTTTAAACTAAAGTGATTTTTAAAATTGTTTCCTTGGCAAAATAAAATATGGGTACCAGTTAAGTGGGTGCTTTCAGATAGGTTTTGTTTTGTTTTGTTTTGTTTTTGGAGCTGGGCCTGGTGGGTAAAATCCCAGAGCCTGACGTGTTCTCGAAGTTCGCCAGGTGTGATGAGCTCAGTCCAGGTTATCCTCACCTTGCAGCCGGCCAGGTAGAAGTCCTTGATGGTGCTTGGCATGAGTCCGTTCATCATCATGGCCACACACCTGCAGAGAGAGAAATGTGGTTCTTGGAGACCCCCAGGCAGAGAACTTGGCAACCCCCGAGGTTTGCATCAACTCCAGGATGGTAGCAGGGGTGGAACCGAGGTGTGAAAGGGGGTGTGCAGAAGGTGCTGGTCCTGCCTCCTGCCCAGGCCCTGTGTTCTTCAGGTGCTGGCTTTTGGCAGTGAGACATGTGAGCAGAATTAGCGGGGTTTGGAGTTGGGGTACAGAAATTGGTGCTCCAGGAGGCTGACACGTTCACGTGTGCCCCCCTTCTCACTGTCATACTCATTGGCCAGGCTGCATTAGAATGGTCAGGCTTCCCCAGATTGGGGGACACAAAGCAAGCCTAAAGCATGCACATACGTCTACACACGCAGCAAGCAGGATCGCAGCTGTGCCATTGCAGGTGTGCGATGCGCAAAACCAAGGAACAGTACCAGCTGGGACTTCCAGGCACAGACCGCACCCCCCGAACACACGCGGCCTCGGCGGAGTGGGATCCAGACCTAAGCGGCCACCAGGGTGATTTTGCACTTGGCCAGGAGCTCAACTAAGATGGTCTTTGAGGTCTCATCCAGCACCTGGATTTGTGATGCTATCAGAGTAACCCAGGGCATTTCTGTTTCACTATACACTACACACACACACACACACACACACACACACACACACTGAGGTGTGTGCTGCCACATCCTGACCAACTGTACCATCAGCCTCTCAAAGGCAGGTGAGAGCCAGCCCAGTGGCGTGCCAGGCCCACCTGGATCCGACCTGTGACACCCACCACAATTACCTGGGGAATCTTGAGCAAGACCTATCTGCCCCAGGCAGGCCGAGGTTTGTTCATCTGGGTAATGAGGGCTTGTTCTCTCCAAAGCCCTTGCTACTCTGACCTTTAAAGCAAGTCGTGGAGTGGAGGAAGGAAAATGAAGGACCTGTCATTCTTAGCTCAGCCCCAGATTGCCAACGCCAGGGCTCCGAGAGTGAGCTGAGGCTAAGAATTTGGGCCCAAGGTAGGGCAGCTGGGGCTGACAGACAGAGGCTGCAGACCCTGCTCCAAGAGGGAGGTGGATCTTCCAGCTTTCAGGTCAGAGATATCAGAGCACCAGGAATCAGGAAGCTGTGATACTGTTCTCATTATGGCGATGTGGGGCTGCAAACGGGTGGTGCAGGCCATGAACGGGGCATGGGAAATCCCAGCAGAAGCCAGACCTTGCCCCAGTGGAGTTAGCCCCAGAGCCCACACGACCCAGCTCTGCCTACACCTCTGGTCTCCCACCTCCCACAGCCACCCACCCTGCAGATCGGGCCAAGCTGACATGCTGGAGTGTCTCTTCCAGACTCTGGTCCCCTTGGCTGTCACGTCCAGGCCTCTGAGAGCCTGCATCCCCAAGCTCACATGGCGTCTGCCTCCCCAATAAGTCTTCTTGAGACTCCGGATCATGTGTCTGGCTAGAGTCATTTCGGATGCCCCAAGAATGAGACACTGGCTCAAAACCGTCTTCGGGGTAGAATCTGGCTGTTTGGAGTCTACAGAAATTGACTTGAAACCGGCACAAGTCCGGAGAGATCCTGCCCTGCCCTCTCCAGGGCAGCTGATGTCCTCTCTTGACCAGGACAGGAAGTTCTTGCATTCTTTCATTTCCTCAGATAAAGATCCTGAGGCAGAGAGTGGAACAAGCCAGACGGACCATCGCTGCCCTGAATCCCTCTCTGCGTGGAATCGCCTCAGGTGCTATGAAATCAGAGAGTTAGACGATACCAGCTCGATGCCCAGGACGTGAGTGCAGTAGGCACACATCCCAGGAAAAGCCGGAGCGAAGGGACAACATATTCTAGAAAAAGTGAATCCCATCAACGATTTTCCATTTGGTTCACTTACCCTTTCATAAATGTTGCTGGAATAGAGCAGTATTACAGGATACAGGAAAGGGGAGCTCTAAGAAGTGTTCTGGTTAATCACAGGGACCTGTTTACTTGCCATTAATCATACATAACACAAAATGTTCCATTTGGGATCCCCATCCTACATTCCACTTTGCTCATTTCCTGTGCCCTGGAGACCTGTCGGGCAGGAAGCTCTAGAGAGCGGGGACTCTGTCCCTCTGGTCCTCACTGTTCCCGGTGTCCTGAAGACACCCGAGGCGTCGTTCATAAAGGAGCAGATGAGTGACTGAAGGTGTGTTGAAACAAAATGACCGGTCACTGGCCCGCAGCAAACCCGGCCTCACCAAGTGCACCTGAAGGGAGGGAGCAGGAAGGCTTCATTCCGTGGCAAGTGGTGACGTCACCACTCGCCTGAGCAAAGCAGAAATGGACAGTGTTGGGGTCCAGGTTCTGCGGCCCCTCGACCTCCTGCAAGTTCTGGCTGCTCTCCTGTGGCCTTGAGCAAGTCACTCACCTCACGAGGGTTCAGTTTTCTTGTCTGTGAAGTGGACATAGTCACGTACCACCTCCCAGGACTGCAGGGAGGATGAACGAGGTCACCCTGGCCAGGAGCTGAGGGCAGTGACTGACTATGCCCGATGCTCCTGCTCAGAGCATAGCCCCTCACCCCCTACAAAGTCCTGGAAATAGGGCAAATATAATGAGCCCCATTTCACAGCTGAGATCACTGAGGCACACGAAGAGCAAGAAACAGCTTACCACAGGGCTGAGCACAGCCCCGGCTGCTCACACCCTAGGTTTGCTGTTGGCTTTGCAGAAAAAAGTCTAATGAAAACCGGGAGCCTGAGTGGCTCGGTCAGTTGAGCGTCTCTTGATTTTGGCTCTGGTCATGGTCTCAGTCTGCCCGCGGAGGTGTGTGCGCTCAGTGAGAGGCTTGTCAGCGACCAGTGAGCTCGGTGAACTGACAAGCAAGCAGGGTGGGCGGCCTGGGGGAGGCTGGAAGGAGCTTGCTGCTGGGGCAGAGGCTCAGCCGTGAGCTCAGCACGTGTGAGTTAGGGCCTCGGTTCCTCTGCAGACTCACAGCTGTGCTCGGTGCAGAGAAACCCAGTTGTCCTCGTCCACGGAAGAGAAACGGTCTATGAATGGGCCAGGAGGCCACCCCTCTACCTCGCCCAGGGCTGGCTGGTCCCGGCCCTACGCCTTGCCAGGCTTCTTACCTTTGAAACAGGCTGCTGAACTGGAGAATGTGTGCGGAAGCCAGCACACCCAGCACGTCGTTCATGTTTATCTCCACTTTGCTCAGGTAGAGGTTCTTCAGGGCCGTGGCGAAGGCTGGGGGAGCAGCAGCGAGAGAGAAAGCCGTCATCTTGGGGCTCTGCATCCTGCGTCCCTTACCTGGGGGTGCCCTCCCCACTGGACATTCAAGTGTCCTGGGGCTGGCCGGGCAGCGATGCCCTTAGAGGAAATGTACCTGCTCGGCCCTGAGTGCAGATCCAGCCCGGGCTCCCACCCTCCCCAAAGGAGTTGAGGATGAAGCCAAGAAAAGCCGGCTCCTGCTGAAAGAACGCTGCCCTAATCCCATCCTGGCGTCTGTGCCTCAGGGGTCCTCCGCGCCCCTGGGCCCTGTGTGCTGTGCAGGGAGGGGACTGCCCCAAAATGTACAAACACTGTGTGCATGTGCGTGCACTTTGTTCTCTGGAGAGGATGCTTAGCTTACAGCAGACTTTCCTCAGAGTCTTCAAAAAGGCTAAGGACTCCTGCTAAGAGCTAGGCTGATGTCATGTCGGAGAACTGAGCTCCTGTGACCCGGGAGCAGAGGGATGGGGCTTATTCTAAGTCCGTCTACCTGGTCCCAATCAGCACGGCAGCCCAGCCCCGTGCTCTCCGAGGACAACCGGCCCGGCCAGGGCTTTCCGGGGCTGGTGTCCTGACCTGTGGGTCCGAAGACCGTGACAGCACGCAGCTGCTTTAAGACAGCCACCTGTCTCTGTTTCCAGGTGGCAGGCTGGGGTGGGAGAGGGTGAGCCCAGCGAGGGAGGGGCGTGTCCACAGCTGCCCGGGAAGCCCAGGCCGAGGGCTTCCCTGTCATCGGGTCGGTCTGACCCAACGCCTGTTGCGTTCTTCCTCCTCGGCATCCCCCACGCCTCTCTTCCAGGGATGAGCACCGCTCTCTAGCACCTTCTCTGCTCCGCTCAGCTATCTTCAACAAGGAAGGACTGAACACCCTATGCCACTTGTTTGTTCTATCGTTTCTAAATCTAGCAGGGCTGCAGCCTCCCTGGCATTTCAGCACAAGAAGACAGGTGTAACTTACCGACGTTAGTGACCAGGGGGTCATTGATCTTCAAGGAAATGATCATCTTCTTTATGGGGGGTCTTTCCTGGACATTCCCACGCAAGTGGGCTGGTAAAGGAAACAGAATGGGGACGTCAGGACCCGACAGTTGCGGTGAATTGTGTAGGATACGGCGTGAGGTCCCCTGGCCCTTTGCACAACCTTGACCTTGGCGTTCCCCACACCATGTGTTGTTTCTGCTTGCTTGTTTAGGGGATGCTTTTTTGAAATGATTCTTTATTTAGAAACAGCTGAAGACTCCCAAGGAGTGGCAAAGCCAGTTCGGAGCTCTCGTGCCCCCTCGGCCACCTTCCCCACTCATCTTACTGAGCCACCACGGCGACCAGGGCTGGGAAACGGATGCTGTCAGTGCATGAGATATTTTTTACTGGCCCCTGCCCCTCTCCCTCTCTCTCTCCCCTCTCTTCCCTCTCTCTTCAGGCCATGAGCAGTTGGAGGGCAAGAGCTGGGCCTTGTTACCTCTGTGCCCCCAGCCCTCAGCCCAGACCTGGCAGGAGATGGGACGACAGAGACCACCTGCTAAAGGGTGAGCATGGGACAGACCTAACCGCCTAGTAGCTGTCAGAACTTTGCCCCACAGACATCCAAGGACCCCCGTAATTAAGGGCTCCCAGGAGGAAGGGAAGGGGCTGCCTGGTTTACTTACCACCCCCCCAACCACTCACACTTATTCTAAAATGTGAGTTACAACACCCACGGCTCTCCTGCTTTCAGGGACATCCCAAGCCTTTGGCACAAAGCCAAAGGCCTCTAATGGACCCAAGACCATTAGTCTCTGGCTCACTGGACCCCAAAACTGCCTTCTTGTTGTTCCATAGAAGAGCCACAGGGCTCCATCCCTCCCCCATCAGAGACCCACCTGACTCCATATGGAAGGTAGCACCCCACCCCTTCCTCCCCCCTGAGTGGCTATACTTTTCCTCCCAGACCCACCGTTACCACCACCTTCTGCCACACCATGTCTTTGTTAGGCGGGCACACTGGATGGCTTCCTCGCCACTCCCTCCCCAGGCCCCGACACAGTCTTACACACACTGGTTCTCAGTAAACGTCACCCAAATTACCGGAATGAGGGGACTCTATCAGAACCCCAAGCCTCCTGAGCTCAAGATTCTGGGTAATGAAAAATGACACGAAGCAAGATCCAAGAAAGGATGTCACACGGCGAACCACAAAGACCACAGAGCAAAGGGGGAGAACAAACATCCATTCCGGCGGGAAAGCAGGGCTGTTGAGTCTCCCCTCACCGTCTCCCCTCACCGTGCTCACGGCACCTGGCTCTGTCCACGCTCCCATTCAGCAAATATTTACTGAGCATCTGCTAAATGTCAGGCCCTTTACTCCGCTCTGACTCCTTGTCCTCCAGGATTTCAGGACCACCTCCCGCCCGCACGCGGCACTCTGTCGCTCACCCGCCCTGGGGCACAGACGAGGCCGTCTGGAGGTGGCAGCTGGTTTCTGAGCTGCTCCTCACACTTTGTCATTGTTTTGTGTTGCCTTGTCCATCCCCCAGGCCCCGACACCGAGTTCCTAGCACAAGGCCTAGGCTAAGTTAAGCGCTCAACATTTGTTGAAGGAAGAAAGGAAAAATATCTGCTAGGTCAGAGTCAGTGGAAGTCAGAATTTCAGCACAGCCTGTTTTACCAAAAACCTCAAAATCGAACATGAAAGTAATAATTCAGTCATGTGCTTCGGAAGTACTCTGAAACCAAATGGTTCCTTTTTAGTAAAAGAGTACCATTTCCTTTTGGGGGTTCCTCCTAGAGAATAAAGGGGCCCTGGGGGGCGCCTGGGTGGCTCAGTGAGTTAAGCCTCTGCCTTCAGCTCAGGTCATGATCCCAGGGTCCTGGGATCGAGCCCCACATCGGTCTCTCTGCTCGGCAGGGAGCCTGCTTCCCCCTTTCTCTCTGCCTGCCTCTCTGCCTACTTGTGATCTCTGTCGGTCAAATAAATAAAATTAAAAAAAAAAGAAAAAGAATAAAGGGGTCCCGCCAAAGTGCAGCTCACCCCGGGCTCTCGGTGGCAGGAACACGACCAGCTGGGACAGCCGTGTGTGGCCAGGGCAGGAATGCGGGCACAGGGCTGCCTCTGCACGTTGCCCACCGCTCCAAGATGGCAGTGCACAAGACAGTAGCTGTGAGACCATCTAAGCTGTCATTGTGAGGCATGTTCTGCTTTCGCAGGAGCACAAAGCCTGGTGGCTATGTCCACTGAACAACATGGGCACACAGTTCCCAGGACAAGGCGCAGACCCTGAGGGTTCTGACAGTGTGGGCAGCGGGGGTCCTCATCTCTGCACCTACGCGGTTGCCCCCCAGGCAGGCCCAGCCTCCAGCAGGGGCTTGGAGCCGACTGGCTGTGTTAGCAGGGCCCAGTCTTTTCAGTGAGACCCTTCTAGAATGACAAAGACCAAATCATTAACAGTAACTCCATCTTCTCTTTCCAAATTCTCTTGCTTTTCAATGCATTCATGTCTGGATCTCCATGGCCTTTCCTTGGGGGCCTGGGGAGTGTTCTGACCTGGGTACAGGGATGAGCCTGGTCCCACTCTCAAAGACACTGGGACAAACGCTTGGAAAGAGCAAAGGAGATTGTCCAGTGAGTGTGAAGGTTGTCCCAGTGCTGGGGGAAAGCCGCAGCCTGCTCTCAGCTCCCAGCTCAGCAGGGAAGGGCTGAGTCAGAGGCCTTGTGGCCAGGCTGATTCCGGCTGGCAGCAGGGCCCTCTCTCCAGGCTCAGGGTGGGGCAGCAGCTGGGGGGCTGGCCAGCCTGTCTGGCTCTGGAATAACAGAGCTTTGCTGCCACATCCTGGAAATGTAGCCTTATCCTGACTGGCCCGCTGGTTGGCTTTGGAAACCTTGAACTTTCCATAGTACCTGTTTAGAGCCATCCTGAAATGATGCCCATCTGTTACCCAAAGAAGGCTGTGTGTCCAGAGAAGAACTTAGGGGACAAAGAGGGGAGCCTGGGGGTTACTAGAGTTGAAAATGGAGGAAACGAAAGAAAGAAGTGGCCCAAATACTTTACGTAATGACGCGAAGTTAAGAAAAGAGAAACCAAAGGAAACATAACCTCGACATTCACATGAAACCTCTAACCAGCATCCTGAGCCAGATGTCAGAACTATGCCCTCCTTCCAGAGAGCCATTCAGAAGACTCAACACAACTGTTTGCTCCTCTCGGAGAAGTAGGTAGAGTCTCCATTTCCGCCGGCTGGGCAGGATTGGGTTGTTATGCTTAAAATGAATGACATCTCCTGAGCACCTAATACGAGCCAGGCATTGTTCTAGAACCTCTCAGCTCTACCATCTCCAGGCTTCAATGCAGCATAGTGAGAACAATCATTCCCATGTTATAGCTGTAGACCAAGGTTAAATCTGTGATGAGGTCACACCATGGGCTTTGCTCGTATCGGCCAGAGTGACCTTGGTCCCCAGAGAGATGACCAAACGCCAAGCTGGGGACCCTCAAACCAGACGGCATTTGGAGCTCTATGGAGGGCACCTGTAAGAAAATACCTCGCAGAAGCCTCTCCAGTTCTTTTGTGGGGCTTGTGGTGCCCTGGGCCAGTGCCATCAGGAAGAGCTTGGCCAAGGTCTCAGACTGGAAAAGCTGGGGCTGGTGGAGTTCCCATTTGGAGCCCAGACATGTGAGAATCACGTCTACGGAGAGAACGCGGTGATGAGTAAGCGGTTTCATGGCGCCCCTTCCAAGAGACCTGTCAACTCCCACCCACCATCTCGTCGCAGTCACAGAGCAGATGGGCAGGTGGCTTTGCTGGGCTGCTCCAGGAACAAAGCAATGAAGACCGCGTGGGCTTCAGGTCACTCACTGGCCCCCAGTGGATCCAGTGAGTGGCCTCACAAGGTAACATAGATGGAGAAAAGAATCCAAGAGCAGCTGACGCATAGCTGTAGGGCTTCGGAGGCACATGGGCTGCTCTCTGGCTAGGGAACTGGAACGGCTTCACGGGGAAGGGACACTGGCTGGGACACGTTTGGGGACCTCACCATGCCCTCCCGTTACAGTGTTTCTCACCCTTGGCATTCTTTGTATTTGGGTCTGCGTACTTCTCTGTCACGGGGCTGTTCTGTGCCTTGTAGGTTACTTAGCCACACCCCTGGCCTCTACCCACAGGATGCCAGGAACACCCTCCCCACTAAGTCGAGACGATCCCGAATGTCTCTAGGCATCGCCAAATCTCCCCTGGGAAGGGATCTCGCTACCCAGTCCCCTGTTAAAGCTACTGGCCACTGGTGCTTAGTTATTGGCCACCTGAAAAGTGACAGTCAAGTGCAGCTCCAAGGCCCATCCCCAGGAGGCAGAGACCTTGTGAGCCTCACTTTCCTCGAGGGAATGGGGAGCCCCAGAAAACCCAGCTCACAGGTGTGAAACAGGATTACAGAGTAAAGGAAGCTTTTTGCAAACTGGAAGGGGCTTTATGCACAGGGCTTTATCTCGTCCTTGGATAGCATAGGTGATTAAAGAGAGAGCCTTTGACAAGAGGCCAGATGGAGGATCCAAGGATAGATGGTCAGGTGAGGCGGGAGGGGCCGTGGGCAGACCACCTCTGCAGGCTGAACTCCTGTCAGCGCAGAGCTGGGGGAAGAGGGTGGTGCTCGCCTATCCCCCCCAAACCCTTAACCTCAGTGTTGGATAAGACTTTGAGAGCCCCATCGACTTGTTAATGGCCTTGCCATTACTTTGCCTGAGTGAGCTCAGGCATCTCCTATCATTAACACTGTGATTCACTAACCCTACCCTATGACACTGTTCCAGGCTGGGTTCAGAATGCGGGCTTGCATCTCAATCTCGGGCCACCTCTGGTCATGCTGGGCTAGAAAGTATCCCACCCGTTCGGGTGATTTTAGGCAGGAGCAGCATGGAGAAAGCGTGTCTCCTCCCCGGACACCCACAGCTGCCTTTACAAGGGCACATGCATGGGAGACGTCACTCCCAATCCCAGAAGTCTTTTCCCTAAGCCAGGAGATGTTCTCAGACTACTTCTCAGGGCCTCCAGTCAACCAAAACCCACAGGCAAGGAAATCAATTAGCCTCCTCTGGGGAAGAAGGCTGGCTCTGACCTCAGGCAGCTTATCTTTAAAAAAACTCCTTTAAGGGGTGCCTGGGTGGCTCAGTCAGTTGAGAGGCTGACTCTTGATTTTGGCTCAGGTCATAATCTCAGGGTCAAAAGATCAAGTCCCACATCCTCTGCCCTCAGCAGTGAGTTTGAGGATTCTCTCCTCCTACCCCTTTACTCTCCCTCTCTAGAATAAATAAACAAATCTTAAAAAACAACAACAAAACCTCTCTACGGAGCAGAACTGTCCCGGCCTGGTGAGGTTCAGTGAGCCTTTGCCTAGCAAAACAGACCTAGCCTGGTTCCTCATTCTCAATCAGGAAAGTCCTCTTGGGCAAGTGCGGAGGTGATGTCCAGCTCATGATTGGTTAGAGCGAAAAGGGACGGAGAAGAGCTGCCCATACTTGATGGGGTTTCTGTTTAGTCTTCATTCCAAACGCTGTTTATTTACATCAGCATGTTTGCCTTCCCTGGGGCCATTAGCATATGAAAATGTGTTTGCCAAGCCTGGTTCCATTCATCATCCCATGGTGTGTCTGACAAATATTTACAGCGCCTGTTTATAGTTACACGGTGTGCAGTGGACAGAAACTGGGACTTACAGACCAGTGACCTGGCCTAGAGTCTGGTTTCCTTCTCTCGAAACCACAGCTGGCCCTGGGTGCAGTGACATTTGATCGAATCCACCGGTGACAAGCACTCACCTGCCTCCCCACTTGGGATGGTCTTGTTCTTCAAGTTCCCCAAGAAAATTTTCTGAATTTGTGAAATGCATAACCTCGAGGGAAAATACAAACAGAAAATTCAGGAGTTAACACTGACCTTCTTCGCCAACTGCCACACACATCATTCCAGTGGAAGTGTCCCTATGGCATCCATTCATCTAGCTTAGGTCTAGTCTTAGGTCACCATTTGTCTGCTGGTTTGATTATCTGTAAGCTTTGTGGCTGGCTCGAACACCCATTCCCATTTTCAGTTTGCAGATAGGCTTTCCTGAGAAGGTAGTCGGAATTATATCCAGTTGCCTGAATGACTCCCCTCTCGTTGAGTGTCTAAAACAATGTCTAGCATAGAGTATGTATTCCATAAACACCTGCTAGAGAAAGCAAGAGAGGGTTCTGGGCACTTCTGGGAAGTGACTCACCGACACTTCTGTTTAGGGGACATGCACGCCGCAGTCTCGAAGTGTCCAGAAACTAAACTCAGATTTTATGCCAAACCACTCTGCTCTTTCTCCAGCAAATGCTCTTTCACCAGTCTCCAGTTGCCCAGGCCAGCAGGCTGACGGTTGTGACATCGGATCACTCGCCTAGATCTGACAAATAGCAGATGTCCCTGCCCCCTTCCTGCTGTAAGCCACATCCAAGCCATTATTATCTCCCTGAAATCGTGGCCAGTCTCTGGTCTCCAGGAATCTCCCCTCAGATATACAGTTGATGCCGCATCTTGAGAACCATGTGCAACGCACATCTGCTCTCGCCTCTCTCCTGCTGAGAATCCTTCCGTGTCTTCCCGGGGCTCTTGGGGGAAGCCCACACTCCTCAGCATGGCTCGACCCTCTACGATCCCTGCTCCAGCCCTTCTCAACAGACTGAAGCCACCATCTCTCACTGTCATTCTCTTGGACCCACAGTACCCGCTGCCCTGAGTGCTGTCCTCCTGACCTCGTCACTTGATGAGCTCCTACTCACCCTCCTAGATGAGCTCAGCTGTGGCTTTCTCTGGGGAGACCGAGCAAATGGTCCTTCCACTGACCGCCCTGGAAATCCCCCCATCGGAGCTCCATCTATTGTGTCTTGTGGTCACCTATTTGCTCATGTGTCCTCCACTCAAGGCTCTGCATTCCACAAAGACAGATCTGGCATTTATTCATTGCTGGAACCCCAGCATGGGCACTATGCAAGTGCTCAGTAAGTATCTATTCAATGATTGAATGATGACTAAGGTAAGATACCTTCTCATGAACACTGCCTTCGTCCCGTTGAGCAAGGACATGAAACACAGTTTGAGTCACATAGTCCCAGCTTGAAGACAGTCCATCCCAAGAAAGCCAGCTGGCCAAAGGACATTGGATGACCACATCTGGTCTGTGTCACTTTTACCATGCTGTTTTCCAAGGGTTCCAAGAACCCTCGTGGCCAGGGTACATAGAGGAGGGCCTGGGTGGGGGAAACCATGTCCAGAATAACATTGACCACAATCTGCCCTTTCCAAGTGGAGAGGGTAGCTACTAGTGACTCAGCCCCAGAAAGGCAGTGAGAGCTTGAGGTATTTATCCAACAGGAGTAGTGGACCTGACCCAAGCTAGCCTCAATCCTTCTGGTGGCTTGGGTCACACGTCTAGTAAGAGTTGGTCAAGGTCAGGGGTTCAGACTGTGATCTCAAAATGGAGCAATGGACTTTGGAAACTATGGGCAATGCCCATGAGCTCAACTACCCTCACAAACATCAGTGTCATCGGCTGAACCAGACAACAGAAGTAACCTCATTGCCTTCTCCTGGTGTATGGGTCCTCGCCAAGATATACCATCTATCATGCGGGCTCTGCAGATTCCAAGGGCTAGGTTTATTTTAGGACCATTGGAAAAGTTAATGGACTAAATGGCATCTGTGAGCTGTCCTCTTCATTCTTTGGGACTAGACAGCCTGGGATAAAGTAGCACATGGGAAAACTGGGAGCATGCTATTAGGTTGGGGACTCGGTCTCCCCAGTCATGACCCATGATGGAGAAACAAGAGGAGGAGGAAGAAATTCTCTATGTGTCTCATGGATGGAAGGACTTCCTGCAGCAAACTGTCCAAAGGGCTTTTGGCTTAATACTGACAAGTCCAATGTGATGTCCTGTCCTTGACTTTGAGTTTGACCATGTGGCTTGCCTTGATCTTAGCGGATGTGATGTGGCTGGAAGTTTGGAAAGCACTTGCACCCCTGGGCTTGCCTTTGTCCTCTGCCATTATCAGCATGAGAACACGCCCAGCGAGTCGACCATCTCAGGAGGAGGACGAGAAGAGCCTGGGTCAGCTGACCACCAGACCCATGAGCGATCAGCCTTCCCAGAGTATGTCCTTGCCCCAGCTGGCCTCTGGACCCACGGCTTCCTAGTGTCACCAAGGAGAGAGGCGCACTGTGCCACCTGTGTGTGTAGGCCAGGTGCCTTGCTTTGGGGGAAGGTGGTAAAAGGCAGAGTGAAAAATGGGGCTGTTGGCTGGCAAGAGCACAGGGCCGGCACACCCCAAAATGAAATCACCAGGACCATTAACTAAAACTTGCTCAGACGAATAAAATCTCCATTTACACATCATCTAATTTTCTCTAGACACAGCGCTAAGCATTTGCAAGGTACCGGGTGATTTAATCCTCAAGATAACGCTTCCAGAAAGATGCTCTTATCGCCATTTCACAGGTGAGGAAACTGAGGCTCAGAGAGGTTACTCCACTGGCTAAAGGTTACAGAGTTAGTAAATGGAGGAGAAGGAACTCTAACCCGTCTGACACGTTACTTTTAATAGTCCTGATACCCAGCACAACTGCCACCACCCTCTGGTTTCTGTGCCTTGCCTCTCAGTCCACCCCCAACCCCCCAGTTTAGCTCAGCGATTGCACAGACGGAGTCCCGGAGACGTCTGCTCCTCCTGCCCAGCCACACTCATCAGCTTTCCAGATCAGTTTGCTTACACTCCTGTCACTGAGGAACACCATGCATTTTAACCCTAAGACTTCTTCAAGGCCCTAACCAGACAAAAAATAAAATAAATATACAATAGAAAATAAATTCAAGATAGTTTAAGGCTAATGCCCCAAATGGCAACTCACAGCACTCACCTTTTCTAATCTGGGGTCATCCGAGAATTAAGGCGCCAACCACAGATGGATTTAATTTACCCAAGTGTGTGGAGGAGAGCCGCCGGGGAGGGGGGTGGGGATTGGAGCAGGGCTGGTCTGGGGCTACCAGCTCAGCCAACAGGGAGCGAGCGGCTCCTCTGTGCCCGGTGCTTTCTGGGGCACAGGCCGTTTGCTCACGAGCCAGGTACCACCAGCCCAGGGGGGAAACGGCACCAAGTAAAGTTCAAAGCACCAGGGAAGTGACTTCTTCCTTCTGCAGTGGGGTCTGGCTCCATGTCCCAGGAGAGACCAGAAAGCACTTGTCACAGGGAGGAGGAATGCTAAGCCAGCGGTTAGAATGCCTTGGGAAGGAGGGAGGAGCCAGCTTGTCACACATGGGGTGTCACAGACATCTCAGACATCCTTAGGGGAAGTGGTGACCCTGAAGGCTGGTACCAACAGCAGCCCAGATGAGCCCATCTGCCCAGGTAGAGCGGCCCAACTACAGGGTCCTTCCCAGAAATGCTTGTCCGTCCCCTGCCCCCCGCCGGGGCAGTCCCGGCCGCCATGGCCTTTGATCACCCTACCTGTCTGGGTTCTTCAAAACTTCTTCAAAGTCCACGTTCAAAGCCTTGCACATCTGGGAAAGTCCTAGCAGGTCCCCGGAGAAAGCCTCTCTGGGAAAACGCCACCGGTTGGTCGAGCCAACCATCCGGCGTTCCAGCCGAGCTTTGCGCTGCTTGGGAGGCAAAGGAAGGCAGAAAGTCCTTTTTGAACCTCTCCCAAAGGCCAGGTTTTCCAACGTGTACATCAGAAAGAAAATCAAGACACATTTGAAAACACTGGCTGATTTTCAAACATGGCCAGGGTTTCTCAGGAGCCATCCTCTCAAGGCCAATATTGTACTCAGTAGACAGAGGGGTTCAAGGAACATAGTAATTAGGATCTAGAACAGAAGGTTCCAGAGACAACAGGTCAGGAGGCAAGATTGTGTCTTTGCGGGCGGTGCTCAGGAGCCCACGGGGTTGGGGGGGACAGGATGACATTTCAAGAGACTCTTCCTTACGTGTTTATCCTCACTGGGGATTCGGAGAGACACCAAACTGAGAGATCCTAGGTGGGGACTGTTTTTCTCTCTTCTTGTAAAAGACACAAAACGTAACATTCACTGTTTTATCCATTTCATCGCATACCACTGAGTGGCATCTGGTACATTTACAAGTTGCACAGTGATCACCACCATCCAGTTGGGGGCATTTGCGTTCCCCCAAAAGGAAACCTTATACCCATCAGGCCCTCACTCCTAACCCCTTCCCCCAGCTCCTGGCAACCAGACGTCTGCTTCCCGCTTCTATGCATTTGCTCTGCTGGACATTTATATAAATGGAATCAGACATGGGGGCTTTTAGCCTTGGCTCCTTTCCCTTGGCATCATGTTTTCCATGTTCGTCCCTGTGGGAGCAGGTATCAGAACCTCATTCCCTGTTAAGGCTGAATAATATTCCAGGGTGTGGAGAGACCACATTTTGTCTGTCCATCCATCATCTGATGGACAAGTGTGTCCTTTCCATCTCTTGGTGATTGTGAGAAATCCTGCTGTGAACGTTTGTGTACAAGTTCTTGTTTGAACACTCGTTTTCAGTTCTTTGAGGTCTATACCCAGGAGTGGACAGCTGGGCCACTGGGCAGGGACTTTGACTTAGAGGTTTCCTTGAGGTCCTCGGGCTCAGCAGCCTCCTTAAGGGAACAGTACAAGGTTCAGCGTGGCTGGGAGCCTCAGACTTGGTGGCTGGAGGAAAGCTAGCCGGGGAAGGTGTACCATGAGGGACCCAGAGATGTAGATGTGGTTGTCCCTAAGCCAGGCCAGTCCCTGGAAGGGTGATAGGGAGACCAGGGGCCAGGGAATGGAGAATTTAAGGTCAAATCTTGTTATCGCCACTAAAAGGTTGTATGGCCTTGGGCAAGTCATTTAACCTTTTGAGGCTTTTGGTCCTCATCTGATGATGGCCATGGCAATGGTGATGATGTTAAAATGATAAGAGGAAGTCTGGGAACTAGGTTTCAGTGTCTGGAATATGGTGGGCGATCGAACAGTGTGGAGTGTGAATCTGATGCAGTCCTGTGGGTGTTGGGCTCTGACAGGAGGGTCAGCCAATAGAGCTGGGAGTCAGGACTTATACACAACCCGTCCCCTCGTGTAAACGCGGTGACAGAGCTGTAAGCAGGTGCTTCCGCGGCTCGCCATGAGCCCACGCTACTCACTGGATGCAGCATTTTCATGAACGGTCGTGGTGACGACACCCAGGGGAGGGCAGAAGAAACACCTGGAAGACAAGAGAGGTAAGGCTGACATTTTCAAAAACTCTCCAGAGGGGCTCTTCAAACAGGGGATTGGCCTGAAGAGCCTGTATTTTGCCACAAAACAAGCAATAGGAGCAAACTTCCAGGGTGGGTTATTTGTCAAACTGAGAGACTCTCTGACTTTTTAAAGCCCACCAGGAGACTGACCATTCTTTGCTCTTGCGCCGGAAATGTGGCTCGGGAAAAGCCAAATGGGAGATGAGCCACCACGCTTCGCCCCTTTGCCGGGGGGTGGGAACCGAGGTCTCTAAGTGGGCTGCTCAGATCATCTGCTACTCGCCAGGGTCCCTCGGCTTCCAGGCCCCCTACCCCCAGCCTGGAGCCCCCGCAGCCCCTCCCTGCCTAGTCCAGGCAGCACAGGACCCGGGGGGTGCCCCAGGATGGCCTCCGTCTCTAACAGGGATGAACAGCCCCGGCCGTACTCACGGCTCCGAAGCCCCCTCGCAGCCGCTGGGGGTGTGGGAGGGGGGGTGTTCACAAGAGAAGTGGGTTGAACAGAGGCAGTCCCGTGGCCTTGGTCTCGGAGTGACAGGATCGATGTGGGCCGCTCGCCTTCTCACTCTGAATCCTGCGAGCGCTCATGACATGCGGGGCTCGCCCTGTTCTTTCTTAGAGGCCAAGGTGCTTTGGCAGGAGAGTTTGCCCTTGGTTTCCTGATTGTGGGCACCACGGCAACCGCAGGAAAGGTTCTGAGCACTTCCTGTTCCAGGCCCGTCTCAGCAGGGCTGGGGGCTGCGGGCTGCGGGCAGGGTGGCGTCTCGCAGGCTGCGCCTGCCCTCTTGCCCCAACGGTGCCGTGTTTCCTCCCAGCACCTGAGGTAACCTGGAGGTCCGCTCGAAGGGCCTCAGGGAGTGTCCAGCCCCAAGTCCGCAGGCCTCCTCTGTCACGTGAGAGGATGGTTCCGGAAGGTTCTCAGATCCGTGCCAGGTTGGGCATTCTGGGGTGCTCTATTTCTGGCTCGGGCATTCAGAAATGTTTGGACAAAAATATTTAAATAAGAATTAGAGAGTTTTACGTTATTAAAACTATGCCTGATGATTTATTTTGTGGAGAGATGATTTGTAGTCCGCTCTCTCCAGGAACGAAGATCTGCCTAAAAGTCAAGAGTTTTCATGCCGGGGGCCAGGGTGGAAATTTCCAGGGGCTCAGTGACCTGGTCTGCAAAGCCCAGGCCCCAGACTGACTCGGAGATGGAGAGGTGGAGGCACATCCACCATGCCTGGAAATCTTGGTCCATCAACGTCTCAGACCTCCGGCCCCGGGCTCTCCGAAATCCCAGCCACAGCAAGAACCACCAGGAGTCTGTGCAGCTCGTGCGACCTGGGACTGGCTTCCCCCAGGCTCCTCATGTGCAGCCTTTCCTGAGTCGTATAAACTATGAAGGGAAACAGGAAGGTAAGTGCTTTGCCTACTTGCAACTGAGTCCCAGAAACCATAACACCCTCCACAGACAGGAGGCTTCTCTAAATGTCCCTCCCTCCTCACCCTCCGATCTGTGCTTCTACCTTTCCTGACACCCACACTCTGCTGGGAGGAGTTTCTGTGGGGTGCTCTATGGTGGCCTGCCCATCCCGGCTTCCCCACGGGACCCAACAACCAACCTCAGCTCTTAGGAACCGCTCAACAGACGTCTCTTGACTTGGATCGTTGGATGTACCCGTCCCTACCCACCTCGCTGCCTTTGCACATAGATGACCACTGTGTGTGTGTGTGTGTGTGTGCGTGTGTGTGCATACACACGTGTTCATGTATGCATGTGTCTGTTTCTTGTGGGTCACAATCCCATCTCAACAGGTGGACAGATTCCTGCTTTGCTGCTCCCTTCCCTCCACTCCGAACTTTTCTCAGCTACCTGTCCCTGGAATGTAGGCCCCCATGGAAGGTTTCAGGGAAAGAGTTTGAAGTACCTTGTCATGGACCATATCGTCCATCGCAGGCAAGCCCAGGAACACCCTCTGGGCACCACCGCTGGGGCTCCGCTGAGAGCTGGGCCTTGCGCGCCCTCTAGTGGCCACTCGAGAGAAGCATCCAAGGATGCCATGCTCCCCATTCCTAAGCAGGACCTTGGCCTTGGCTGTGTCTCTCTCTCCCTAGAGGGTCTGACCTCTCCCCAAAGCCCTCTGCACATACATCCTCCATAGAGCTCCAGGGAGCTGAGCTATTAGGCAAAGGCAAAGCCAACTAAAACAAATAAATGGAAATGACTCCCAGCAGGTTTCCCCAAAGGCCTTTTCCAAGTGGTACCCAGTGTTCCAGAATATATGCCCCAGAATACATGGGCCCAGTCAAGCCAGACATCCCAAGACCAAAGAATTTCAGACACCAAACTCCACTGAGCACAGCTCTCAGCTAGAACCACCTTGTACCAAAATCTCCCATGCCCGTTACAGGGGGATTCTGGTGGGATATCCACCTTCTCGGCATTCCAGGGACGAGCTGCTTCCTAGCTTACGAGAGCCCATTTCAGCCCATTTCATCCAGTCACCCATATGGGGAGAGAGTGGAGTACAGAGTCAAGAGCCCCTAATTCCGACCCTGGTTCTGGCACTGACTAGCTATGTGTGACCTTGGACATGACCTTCACCTCCCTGAGTGGAAAGTTGACCCAGAGGCTTGGGATCCTGGTGGGTTGGAAGGTGTTACCCTCAGAACCTGAGTGCTGGCTCTAAGGACCCTCATTTTAAAAGACTCAGAGCCCAGGACACTGTGTGTATGCAGCGGGAGGTTCCTATGAGTCCCCAAATCTGGACAGCCTGGCTCCCCAGGGGAGAGGGGGCACCTGCACCAGGGTCTAGGCTGCGGGGGAGGGGGTGAGATGGGGAGCCTGTAGTTGAAGCCTCTGGCTGAGGCAGTGCACGAGCCTGAAGACCGGCAGGGGCTTCCACCAAGAAGCAGAGGGTGGGTCCTGCCCTTGAACTGCGTCCTATATGGCCAGGAGTGGGGTAGTCTCAGCGCCAAGTGAGGAGCCCTGGATTGGCTATGACCCTGGCCACTGACTTGCCACGTGAGCTAGGGGCAACCTTCTCTCTGGCTCTGGGCTTCACTTGCTCATCTGTACAACAGAGCTCACACGGAACAATTCCTCAGCTCTGTCCCTGCTCATCCCATTATCCCCAGGCTCCCAGGTTGGTACAACCAGGACTGGGGGAGGGGTGGGGTGATGACAAAGCGTACTGGCCTAGGGCTGGTCCCATCCACACCTTTAAACAGAGCTTGAGGGTCAAGTTTGTGGTGGGGGTTGGGGGATGAAATGAGAGCTCAGCGGAGGATGAGAACCACCTGTGCACCGTTCCAGCCCCTGGGACGTTATTCGCTTGCAATTGCTTTAAATTTATCTTACTGATGAAGTAACATTTGGGCATGCTGGTTTATTTCTAACACGCATTCCATTCACTACATAACTATTTTTAAAAGTCCTTTGTGAGCTGCCCTGGAAAATCATCTTTCTGGATATGCACTTCACTTGTGGACATTGGTCTCTGCCCTTAGGAGGCTCGCAGGGTCAGGGGGATGGACAAGTCAAAGGTCAAGCTCAGTCGGCTCCAGGAACTCACAGGAGGGCAGCCGTCTGCCGTAAGCATGTCGGTGTATTCTGCTTGACGTCTTGACGTCTTGCTGACCTGGGGGGACTCTCTGACCTGCTCGGGGTTAGCCAGTTCCTAGAGCCAGTAAAGCAGCTGCCTATTAGCGAGTTCCCACTTGCAAGCCAGCCAACCCAGAGCCCACATCCCCATCACCTCTTTTATTGGCTTTCACATTCAGGGCTGCTGTCCCCCGACCCTGATCACCCCAGGGCCAGAAAACCCCTCCGGCCCAGAGCCTACTGAGATGATGTCAACTAGCCAACCCTAAAGTGATCGACTCCTCTCACCTCTTCCTTCCCTCGGGAACCACAATGGAGTCTCTTATCTACATCTTCCCCTTCTCCTCTGTCTCAGGACCAACACTGGTGCTTCCCTACGTGATCCTGCCTGGCACGGCATACCCTCTTCTCCGGGGAACTGTGAGTCACCAGCTGTCCTCAATGACACTTGTCTCCTGGTCTGTGGGCCTCATCATGCCTGAGTAATAATAAAACCCACATTTAAAAACACTGACCCAGGCCTGGGGGTTCAAGGAGGGTTCCTTGGAGGAAGTGGCATCAACAATGAGCCTTCAGGGAATGGGCTGAGGAGACCAGATGATGGGGCGGGGGCGGGTGTCCCCGGTAGAGGGGTCAGGACCTACTAAAGAAATGACCGTGTGCCTCATTGCACCGTACGGAATGGGGATGGGGGAAGGAGCTTTGTCTAGCCCCACCTCGTTGATCTCCATGTTGTGTTCCCCACTCCTAATAAACCCAAAAGATGTGAATTCTCTGTATTCTGCCCTTGATGCTCCAGCCAAGGGGACACAGGAGCCCGGCCATGTGCAGCAGCCTGGGGAGGGGCCACAGGTCCGCTGAGGGAAACACATGAAGACCAGGCAGAGCGGAGCCCCTCACTCACACCCGCCTAACACTGTGCCCCCTGGGGAGCCCCACGGCCATTCCCAGCTACTGGACCAACAGCAAGGTTTCGTCACCCATAAACACAGGAGCAGAGCCAGCCCGGACTCAGGGCAGGGCTGCCAACCAGTCTAAGGACAGAATGGCTGTGAGGACCCCTGCGGGCACGGGGGCCTCACTTCCTTCCCTGTGCCTTCTCTGCCCACCGCTGTCTGATGGGCCTCCTTACACAGGAAGCTGTCGGCCGGAGGGATGCTAAGGACCTCACAGGCACAGAAGAGTCGAGGTCCCGTCCCGGCTGCCCCATCTCCCAGCCATGTGGCTCCGTCAAATCCCCAGGTTTTTAACCTCCCGGAGCCTCCGCTTCCTCCTTGTAAAATAGAGGTAAGAACAGCCCTTAGTCACCAGATTGTTTCAAGGCCAGAGAGCGCAAACCCCAGGGAAGCCCCAGCGCCTCGAATGTAAGAGCCTTTTCCTCCTGCCAACCCTTCCCTGCCCTGCCCGTGCGCACACCTGCACCCTGCCCTTGTCGGAACACCCACCCCGCCCTGTTCCATTTTTCAAGTGGAATGTCCTGGAAAGCGGAGAGGCTTGGCTAGAAAACCTGAGCATCCTACCAGGGCCGACATTAAGTGAGAGAAGTACCGTCAGGGACCCTGAGCCCCCACTCGGGCCTGTCACCTTGTCACCTGTCCCATGCACAGCACAGATCACTTCTCTCCATGCCTGGAGTGGGTGGGGGGTGGGGTGCTCCTGGTGTGGACTTGGGTCAGACCTCACAGCTCACACCTATGGGGCTGGCCCCCAAACTTGAAAGAAAAACAGTCTTCCCCCGCTGAGTGCCCCCATCCCAGTCGCAGTGACCACCTCCCTCCTCTCCATCTCCTTCCCCACCCACTCTGTCTTCATGAGTAAACTTAGTATCTCAGTCACGTCCTCTGCAACTTGAGAGCCCTAAGGAAATGCTGAGCCAGAAAAAAAAGAAAAAAGAAAAAAAAAAAGAAAATGATGTTCAAACTTCAGGATTTTAACTGACTTGGCAAACTGAGTTTCTAGGAGCCGCTGAGAATCTCGGAGGTTGTCACGCCGGCAGCCGGGGAGCTGGGATGGGGGTCGGGTGCTCCCTTTTCGTGCTCTTCCCACTCATTCAGCACCTGAAATAGTCCTCAGCAGCCGTCACGTGCGTGACCGTCTGCAAACACGTGTGGCATTCTAGAAAGTGAACGCAGGACCAAAAGCAGCTGATCTCAACCCACAGGGGTTCCCAAGGCCGGCACTCTGCGGGTAGGTCTCGCGAGGGAGACTGGCACCCCGGCGGGCCTGAAGCTAAGGTGGGGGCCGAGCGTCCTTTCAGACAGCCAGGAAGCCCAGAGACGGACCGACGCCTGGAAGGTTATCTACTGAGTATGTGTGTGCATTGAGTGTGGATGGGGGAGGCTGTGTATTTTAGTACAACCGTAGGGAAGGCCTATTTGGCCTTTGGTTTCCCAAACTTTAAAAATGTGTATAATATTCCAGAAGGAGAAAAACCGCGTGTGATACCCGGGAGCTGGCCTGGCACGCCTGCGAGGCCTTGCTGTTCTCCTGCAGATCACGACCGGTCTTGCCGAAAATCGGTGTCACAGTGGCCACACTGTGATGGAACAGGAGAAAACAGGCCCATCCCAGAGTCAGTCTGGACACACACAGAACCTGTACATCACAAACCACAGAAAGCACAACAGCCTTCCACCCTGGCTAACATATACCAGCAACTACTGCTTCTTTACCAGCAGGTTTGACCTTGGTCTAGATGAGAAGTGCTGAGATGCCCCACCTGAGAACGGCCTGCCCCGAGGGCATCCAGCATGGACCAAAGCCCTGCTTCCTTCCGTCTTCCCCAGAAGCCGGGACTCAGTCAAGCCCGGTCCCTCCTGCCTCCCTCACCGCGCGGCCCCACGGCTCCCCCTGGCGGCTGTCCTCCCTCACTGCAACGAGCCGCACGGCCAGTTTGCTCAGCACACGTGTTCCCGGTTCACCCAGGTTATCCGCTTTAAAAATTCAGCCCAAGGAAAACTCGTGTTCATAAATGCATGCACGTAAGGAAACTCAACGGAATGCGCGAGCATATAATGACCGCAAACCATTGGTCTCTGTGTAAATGTCCATCAGCGGGCGGCTGCTTACACGCATTTTGTGACCACGAAACACACGCAGTCATTCAACATGATGACAATAAGGTGTATTTATTGACAGAAAAGTCTGCATCACATGATGGTTACATTTTAGTATCACATGAAAAAAGGGTTTATAAAACGGTGCACAGGGTCATTGCAGAACTCCAACTAATCTGCCTTTATAAAGATACATATTTCATACACTGAGAAAAAAGTATAGAAAAATCAATATAAAAGCATTCACAGTTATTATTTCTTGGTTTGGGGATTATGGTTTTTTTTTCTTACCTGCATCTCTAGACTTTCTAGCCGTGGAAAAAAAAATTTTTTTGAAGATTTATTTGAAAGAGAGAGAATATGTACACACGAGTGGGGTGGCGGGGAGAGAGACTGAGGGAGGGTGAGAGAGAGAGAGAGAAAGAGAATCTCAAGCAGACCCAGCACCGAGTGCAGAGCCTGACGTGGGGCTCGAACCCATGACCTTGAGATCATGACCTGAGCCAAAATCGAGAGTGGGCTGCTCAACGGACGGAGCCAGCTGGGCGCCCCTGGGAATGTTTTACTTAGGTAATAAGAAAAAGAGGAACTTTCAAGAGCTAGGGGCCAGGCTGTTCTGAGAACACAGCCGAGATCGGAATTTGGGGTGAGCATGGAGGAGGGGTTTGGTCTGGACAAGGGTGCACTGGGGTGAGGGGACACAGTTGTGCCCCAAGGAGGGGAGACGGGACCCAGTAGAGGTGGCTGGGCAGTGGGAGGAGGCCAACCCCTGGCCATTTCAGGGTCCCTGCCGGGTGGGGTTCAAGGGGGAACAAGAAACGGGCTTTCTTTCCTTGTGCTGCCTGGGGTACCTGCCCCACCAGGCATCACGGGGTCCTACAGCCACGGTGGCTGGGCCCGAGGAGGGGCACCCAGAGCTGAGGGCCACCAGGGGCTCAGGGCTGCTTTCCAAGCTTATGCTGCACACCACACCCCCCACTGGAACACTCAGGGTTGGGGGGGGGGCACAAAAACGCCTCCAGCACCGAGCACCACTAGCTGCGAGTGTGCCCTTATGTGGAAACTGAGTCTTCATAGATGTAATTGAGAATGCGGGGAGGAGATCATCCTGGATTTGAGGTGGGCCTGAAATCCAGAGAGCGGTGTCCTTACAAGGGAAGGGAGAGGAAACTGAGCAGAGGTGACACGAGTGACGCAGCCACCAGCCACAGGATGCCAGGGACTGCTGGCCACTATCCAGAAGCTGCGAGAGGGACAAGGAACAGGCTCTACCTCAGAGCCTCGGCGAGTGGGGGCGGGAAGGGGGGAGAGAAGGGGGGGAAAGTAGGAGACGAGAGTGGGGGGAGAGTGGGGGAGGGTAGAGCGGTGGGTGCAAACCCCAAAGACACTCTGATCTGGGACTTCTGGCCTCTGGAACTGTGAGAGAAAACATTTCTCCTGCTGAGTATGTGATGTTGTGGCAGTCCTAGGAAACGAAGACATCTTCCCACCCTCTCACTGCCCTCCAGTGATGCCCGCCTGTCAGCTTGGGGGCCCCAAGGTGAGGAGCAGTTAAGGAATCTAAGGGCGGGCGCGTCCCGATTTCCTCTCCGACTCGGCCTCGCTACTTGTCTCCCACGGGAAACCGCTCGCCCAGGCCTGGTCTGTTAGAGGGAACTGGGCAACATTTCCGTGTTGATGGTTACACGCTAAGGAACACACAGGAAGAGGGACAGCCTGCCCCCTCCTCGACCCAGTAAAGGGAAATAGACATTCCCGCAGCAACTCAGAGAGGCTTTGTAAAAACAAAACCTGCGCCAATTCAATTTAAGCATTTAACCATTTAAGCAGCAAGTCGAACCTTCCCGTTAGCTTCCATCTTACGAGCAGCCACGATAACGAAGGAAATGTTCCTGAAGCCCCCGGACAAAGAAGGGAGCCAGACAGAGAAGAGGGAAGGGCCAGATCTGATACGATTTTAACAAAGGCCAGAAAAGACTCAACCCTTCCCAGAAAAGAAATCATAACCACACGTATTGCCAAGATCCAAAGGAAAAAAAAATTTATTTACAATAGAGAATTTTATTCGAAACATGCATTTTTTTTAAAACAAATCAGCAAATGCAGATCAAGTTTACACTCCTTAAGGCAAGAGTCCCTGTGCAAGCTGTACATGTTCATATTAAATCCAAAAGACGCTCACCCTGGGAACTCATGTACAAAGGGCAAGGCCAAGGTCAGCGACTTGTCTTTTATTAGAGAATCAGACAATCTCCCTGATACAGGAACTCTGAGGTCAACTTGCTATGAATTTATACTAAGAAAATGCAAACCAATAGCAAGAAATTCTGATAGTCTCCTTAGTACTGCATACAATCAAATCAACGTTATTTAGAAAGGAAGTACAGTAGTGCATACGAAAAAGTGAAGACAGAGCCTGTCCGACGTAACAGGAGGGACAGCAGGGAGCCGACGGTCATATTGCACGCAAGGGTCAAGTCCAAACATTTGGTTCAAAGTTAGCTTTTCCCCATTTTGGCAATCAGTTCATCACAAATCTTGGTGAGTTCCTCTATCTCTTTATTCTGAAAGTGAAGACAAAAAAGAAAGAGGTTGCTGAAATCTCCTGGCTGTTGGAAATCAAGCCCATCGGAATGAGCTTTGGGCTTTTCAGGGGTGTGGGGCCCTCCAGGCTTCTGGGTCCCCCCTGAAATTATCTAACGCAGGGAGAGAAGCGACATGGAGACACATCATCTAAGCACACATCCCAACTCTAGCTCTGACCTTGAGCAAGTAATATAACCTTTCTGAGCCCTGGTGTCCTTATCTCTACCATGTGGAGGATGGCATCTCTCTCTCTGAGAAGGGAGTGAGGTCGGAAGGTAAATAAAGCTCCCAAGCACAGTGACCAGTGCCGGGCAAAGGCTTCACTGGTTTGGGTTCGCTTGTATTTGCCTCTGAAGGACGTGGACACAAAAGTGTGCTCCAGGGTGAGCTCTTGGGTGGTTTACTTGAGAAACGCCACCAGGAGGGGTAAGCGATTCTACTTGAATAGGGTTGCTGGCATTATTTAGAGGTCCCCCAATGAGGGGGTGCTGTGGATACGGGGGAGTCGAGCAGGGAGATGGGGGTAGATGAAAGATGACGTCAGGTGCTCCTTGCACCAGGTCCTGCCTGTGCCCGGAAGCAAGGGAAGCCAACCACATGCTCATCTCGCACCAACGATCTGGAAACACCGTCCACGCTCTAAGTACTGGGATCCGAAGGCCCGAGTCCATTCCGAGGCAGGCCGGGCTTTGCTCCGATGCAGATCCGCTTCAACCACCGGTGTCGAACAGTGCTCTTCAAAGAGGCTAGATCTTTCTGGTATCCCAGGAACCTACTGCAGCCAGTTTTTTGAGGGCCCTGCAGAAGGTGAGTCCTAACCACAGCCCTCTCCCCTGAGACTGTACTGATGCCCTTCCTTGGAAACCGTGGAAACTTCTTGAGACACGGTCCCGCCTGGAGCCACGTGTCCTGTGTTTCCAGGCTGGGCTCCGGGCACCACCCGTGACTGTGTCCGTATCGGGAAGGGCCGGTAGAGGTCCCCAGGAGAAGAGGAACGCAGTCCTCACTGCAGTGCAGCCACCAGTCCCGCCGGAAGAGAAACACCTGGAACAGCAGCTTGGCTTACGCCCTTCTAGAGTCTCCAGCTCCAAGAGGCTCGATTCTGAGAGGAACTGAAACGTCTGCTGGAAGACGTTCTGCGGGAACGCGGCTCTGTGAATCCTGGAAGGACTCTTGCCACGATGGCATCTGCTGGAGCGGCTGATGGGGACTTTCCAACCTCCCGTGTGCCGGTCACCAAGCTAACCATGCCCCAGGCACTGGCCCTGCTAAGCTCTCACAACAGACCCTTCATGGTATTTCCACTTTCCAGTGAGAAACCAAGGCTCAGAGAGGTTGAGAATTGTGCTTAATTTAAGATCACACAGCCAGTCAGAAGCGGCAAGCCCGGAGCGTGAAGTCAGGCTGGCCCGGCCCCTGGATGGCTTTGCTGTTTTACTCGTTAAACATAACATCCAGCGACTGACGGCCGAGAGTTACTGTCAGACCCACCAGCTAGGGACTCCTGGAGGTTCTCCGAGCTCCATCTCGGCATGCCAGCCCACCGCCCCGCACACGGCTATCGTGCAGCTCAGCTCCCTGGGTTTCCAGCACCCCAACTGGGCAAAATGCCCAGCGCCCCCACTTAAGGACAGCCTGGGGTGGGGGCAGTCATGCTTCTGAATCTCTTTAAAACAGAGACCGACCCCTCTGTACCACTCAGAGTCCTTTAGGGAGAACGTGTGTGACGAACCCATTGCTCCTTGGTTTCGCTTTAAGACAGAGTTACATTTGCAGACCTGTTTATATCTTTTCTGTTCTCCAAGACCACGCAAGCCACCTTGCCTGCTTCTTTGTCTTTCCGTTGCCCAGAACACTCAGTGTCGCCTTCGTCCGGCAACTGGAAGGGTCTGACCAGGCCAGGTTGCCCAGAACACATCTACCCTGACTCCGGGTTTAGCTCCACTATTTCAGTGAACACCAGGATGCAGTTCAAACACCATCAAATCCTGATGGAACTGGGAGGGAACAAACGTACCGCTGCCTTTCTCACCTGGAAACATGTGTTGCAAGCTCACTGCCTTACTGCCCAAAATGATGGGGGAAGGTGGTCCTTACTTTAAATACCGATGGGATGAGCAAACGCTCGTGTTTGACGGCCCTGGCTCTGGGCTCGCTGCTTGAACAAGGCTCAGAGCCGGGAAGACCCAGGCAGTCGAAGAGATCCGGCATATTTGACACAGTCCCGCCTCCTCCCTTCTTTCCCTTTCGAGAGACTCTTCCCAGTCTTCAGGTTTCAGCCTCCAACATGACAAACCCATAAAACCTGAGGTCAAGTGTGAGGCTTCCTCAGGGTTATAACGGACAGCAGGCGGGGAGGGCCTGGGGCTCCTGAGTCCCAGGGCTCAGTCCCTGACATCATTTAGGTGGATTGAGAGATACTATGTGATCAATGCTTGGCCCAAACCCACCTTGGGACCATGGTCAGTCCCCATGGAACCCGGCTGGGTAGGGGCACAGGAAAAGGGCCAGAGGCTGCTGGGCACTTCTGGGTGAGCAGAGGCCATCGGGGAGATATGTTGGACTTCAGATGCCATCTGTCTACAAAGGACATCATCCCCCCCAACCATGACTGCCCTTTAAGGTCCAAATGCACGAGAAGTACACTACCCCAGGCCACCAGACTCCAATTACCATCCAAGGGACTCCTAAGACTCAGTAAACCAACCAGGATGCGGTCGCTTCTCTGGAAACTCCCTTTTTAGGAAACACACTTAGGGAAGGGGGCTGCCGGGCCCGCTATAATCTGGATTCAGGCTCCCGCGGCACTGCTGGGCGGAAGCGGCTTCTTGTTCGGACACCCAGGGAGAGGGTGTGTGTGGTACACTGGGCGCTAGACCGGAAATCAGGACAAGCTGGAGGACCTCAGGAGGGTTCCCCCATCCAGGGACGCAGGAGGACGTCTGAGGGCCCTTTTGACCCCAGTGTGGCCTGGGGGTTACCCCATTCCCTCAGCAGTAAGCATGCTGGGTACGGGGTAAAGTACTCTGGCACGCTGCAGATACTCGGTGAATGTGTGACGGGTGAATGCTGGACAAGGAATGAACACCGGCCCTATACCTGGGAGCAGACAGCAGTTCCAGGACAGGCAGGAAGGAGGACAGCCTTGGGGCTAGCATTACACAGGACCTTCTAGAGGGAGGACAAGCATAGGCTCCCGAGGTCTAAAGCTGTCCCGGGAGCTGCAGAGTGCACAGGAGAGCCGGCCTCTGCTTATCTGAGGCTCTGGCCAGACCCCCACCGCCTTCAGGCCTCCGCTCCCCCACCCTGCCCTCGGCTGTTACCTTCTGCTCCAGCGTCCTCTCCAACGCGTCCACACGAAGCTGCTCCTTCCGCAGACTGGCCTGGTAGGCAGCCTGCTCCTGCTGGGCCTTGCCTCGGACCTGCGCGATCTCGGCGTTGGCCCTGCGGAAACAGGGTGGGGGGTTGCTCAGAAATGACCCACCTCCCCTGTAGACCCTTCCCACCTTCCTCCTCCCAGCTCTGGGCAGCAGGCACCGTCTGGCTGCAGCTCCTACCACTGGGGGTCTGGTTCAGGAGCCCACGAGCACCCCCTACCCCAACCCCATTCCCGTGATGCCAAGGTGCTCTGGGTGCGTGTCCTGGAAATTACATGTGTCCTCTACTTATCAAAATGCTGAGAGGACACTCTTATCACAAGTCACCCTGAAAAATACAAATGGGTTATCCGCCCTTCCCTAGCCAGTGGGAGCGGTGCCATGGGAGCGCCTGGCCTGCGGGGCTGCTGAGAGGCCTCTGGGGGCTGCCCGGGGGCCATGTTACCTGTCCAGCTTCTCCTCCGCGTGCACCTTCAGGGCCTGGTACCTCTGTTCCTCCTTCTTCACGCGGGACAGGTACTCCTGGGCACACTTCTTCAGCACCTCCTCATTCTGACAGGACAGAGGACAGAGGTTGCGCCCACAGAAGAAACACCCCAGGTGCTGGGAGCCCCGAGAACTCCCTGATACCTGCTGAACCCTGGACCGCCAAGTCCTGGTACCTGTACCATCTCCCAGCCTGCTCCCACTTCTCTGAACCCAGTCCAGCGTCCCGCTCTGCCCTGACATAAACACACCTTGCGGAAACCCTCAAGGACCTCCTTCATCTTCTCGTATCTCCTGAAGAGATCGGCCAGAGACTTCTCCACGGAGTTCAGGTCGGACAGAGCTTGCTCCTTCTCCAGGACCAGCTGCTGGACAGTCTGGTGGGAGACGGACTTCTCCCTCTGCTCATCCTCTGTCAAGAGACACAAGGATCCACACAATGGGGCCGGGGGCTCCCAACCCGGTCTTGGGGGCAGCCGGGGCTTCATACCCAACTCAAAAGATGTCCAAGCAGCAGGGCATCCCGGACTAGGGACAGACCCACCTCCCGAGCCCACCCAGACTCTGCTTCTAGGGAACGACACCTGCGGCCCCAGCATCCCGGGGCTGGGCCCTTGCAGTGAGAGACGGGATGGAAACTAGCCACGGATCCTGAACCTGATCGCTGCAGACCCTTAAGAATCCACATTCGAGGCCCCAGGGAGTCTGTTTGGTTGATGGCAGCAAATAGATCCATAAGGGGGCAAATCAGACTGAATTCTGAGATGACCAAGATTACAAGGTGCGGTAGTCTGAGCTCCAGGGAGCAGGCCTTTCTGTGTGTGATCAAGGTAAAGAGATGGTTGTTGGGAAACAAAAAAGGTTTCTTCATACTGAAAACATCCCATGAACCGAAGCCCACATCACAGCCCTGAAACTCTGCTTTGCCCAGAAAATGGACATTTCCTTTGATACAGCAAATGTCAGCTCTGAGAAAAAATGGAGCTCTTTCTGCCAAAGGGAGTTTCTCAGTTACATACAAGAGAATTAATTCTGGCCCAGTTCAGAGAGGTTGATCCTAGTAAAAGGACCACTCTGTCCCCGACCCCAACTCTCTGGGCCGCCACCCGCTGACAATCTCCCCCAAACGGCTTACTACCTACCAGCTTACATTTGCGGGAGAGGCCTTCTCTGCCCACGCCACATGAGGGACCCTCACCCACACGGCACGAATTTTGTGTGCTGACCCGTTCGTCTCCCGTCTGGGTGGGAAAGGAAACTTTTTCTCCCATCTGTCTGGACCCCTGGGGACCCTGCACTGGACAGTGTGAGGAGGAGAAGCCCCCGCTCAGAGCTCCTGGGGGAAGGAACTCTGCAGAGCTGTCCCTCCATCAGCCCCAGGTCACCTGGGCGGGGATCCTGCCGCCCAGGACTGCCTCCAGGGGATGGCTGCCAAAGGGCAGATGGCTCTGGAAATGACAGACTTAACTGCAGCGACCAGGGCCCACCCAGCTCTTGCACGTGTCTGGGGCCCTGCTCCCTGTTCTACTCATGTCATGCTCCTAGACCAGCACTAGGCACCAAACTGAACTTAAGTCCAAACCCAGTCACCTCCCAGGCTCCAGCTCAGAGCCCCCACCCCCACCCCAGGGTCCTCCCTGCACACTGGGAATGAAGTCTAAACTCCAGGGACGCCTGGGTGGCTCAGTCTTAAGGTTAAGCCTCTGCCTTCAGCTCAGGTCATGATCTCAGGGTCCTGGGATGAGCCCCACATTGGGCTCTCTGCTCAGCAGGAAGTCTGCTTTTCCCTCTCCCTCTCTCTCTGTGCTCTCTCTCTCTCTCTCAAATAAATAAAATCTTTAAAACAAATAAAAAATAAAATAAAATCTAAACTCTAGCTCCACCTGCTCCAGCTATGCTGGCTGGCACACCCCAGGCAGTCCTGCCCCAGGGCTCAGCAGTCCCAGAGCTCACTCATTCCAGTCCCTGACACTGGGCCACCTCCCCAGAGGAGCCTTCCAGAGCACCCACGGGGAACACCTCCTCCTTACTTTCCAGTCCATTCTCTCTCGCCAGCAACGGCCAGACATGCAAGCGTACTGTCTGCCCAGAATGCACGTTGCAGGAGTCTGTTTTGTCCACTTCTCTATCCTACAGTCTAGGACAGTGCCTGAGTCACAGGATACCCCAACACATCCATGCTGGGAATGATGGAATGGAGCCCAGCCACGGAGCCTGATCCAAACCCCAAGCTGCGCTCATGACCACATTTCTCCCCCAAGCTCCCTTAGAAGCAGGAGGTGGCTGGGGGATTCCGGAGGGCACCTGTGATGAGCACCGGCCACTGCACCGAGTGCTGAATCACCATCTTGTACCTGAAACTATTTCACACTGTGTGTTCACAGACTGGAATTTAAATAAAAACTTTAAAAAAGAAAAAAAAAAAAAGCAGGATGATGCTGCTGCTTTGGGTTCTTTCCCTTAGATTCCTGATAGACATTGTCCTGTGTCCTGAAGTTAGACCTATTCTGGCCGCGTGCTGTGGAGGGAAGCGCCCAGAATGGGGGTGGGGTGGGGGGCACATCCTGGGTTCCAGTCCGACAGGTGTGCGGTGGGGCCGAGATTCTGCATGGGGGACAACTTCCCCGATGACACTGAGGCGGCGGGTCTTGGGGAAACGCCTGGAGAGTCAAGGGCCCAGAAGATGCCTGATGTAACCTCCACCCCTGCCTCTCGGAGCTCCTGATACCAAGACGGAGGTGGAGGACCCAGGAGCCAGACCCTGACGGCCCCGGTTCCATCCTGGCTCTGACACTTCCCGGCCTGGCCACCCTGGGCAGGGTTTGAAACCTCCCTGAGTTTCAGCCTCCAGAGCTGAAAGAGGGGTTCATGGTATTTATCTCACGGCATTTGGGCAAAGATGACATGAAAATGTATATAAAGCCTTCAATATATAGTAAGAACCCAGGATCAGTGACCCATTATTGACAGCATCACTGTCTCCCCCAAACTGGCGTGATGTCCCACTACAGTGACTTCCAAAGGGGGAGCTTTTAACACACAGCGAGAACCGAACTGCCAGCGGCCGGCTTGCCATTCCTAGGCTCCCCGCAGAAAAGACGCTTCAAAGGTTCACTAGCAACCCAATGCTTATATTTATTCTTTGGGTTTCAGCTGCTTCCTTAGTCCTCGGCACATTCTGGGCTGATCTGAGGCGATGTATACATTTCACTTGGCTCGAAAAGAGCCATTTATCACACGGAGTCCATCTGATTTCCTGGATCTGAGACTCAGCCTGCCTCAGGTTTCCTGTCCTCCCCATAAACGTTTGTAAAAATAGAATTTCCCGGTTCCCAGGATACCAAGGAGGTGCGGCTGCATCGCCAATTTTTGTAAATTACAAATGCAGTCAGGTTCTTCAAATCAGGAAATCAGCCCCAAACTCCAAAGGCTCTAGCCTCAACCACAAAACAATGCCCCTGGAGAGGTTTCTGGCTTTTTCAGGCAAAGTATGATTAAACCACGTGGGGGAATGGGGGAGAAATGCAGCAAATACACAAGAGCAAAAGTAACAAAAACAGAAACCAACCAACCAAGATGGGATGCAATGGGCAGGTGTCAAATGAGGTGAAAAGCATTTACTTACCAGGCTTGCCTGTTTGTTTTGCAAGCAAAGGGCAAGAAGCAACAGAAAATGGAAGCAAAACAGAGAATCAGAGCAGTTGTTAGGAAAGCAGAAAAAAAAAAATCAACTGCAACAACCTGGAATGCAAAAAGCACAGAGGTCTCTTTTCGTTCTGAATCCTAAATAAATATTTGAATTCGGTTTAGTAACATGGCACGAGAGCAGACGATGATGGCAGGACAGATGTCACGCTGGCGTGGAACGTCTGCGAGGGTTACATGAAGGCCAGAGAGCCGGGCAGGACCAGGAGGAGCTCGTGGAGGTGGGGTGGAACCTGGTTTTAACTTCAAAAAGCTACTGACATTTATCCCGTCCTCAACTGTCAAGCTCCTGGAGTCTGAGTTTTCCCTCCCAACCAGGGCGAAAACCAGAAGAGACAAGGGACCCAAGAGCCACGTGGATGTACCTCCACATATGGAGACTCACGGCCCGCCCAGAAAGGAGGCAGGTGCTGCCCACAGCGACAGCGAGTCCCTGAAGTGCCTTAGCCCCATGCTGTCCTTTTACAAGGTGACGAGGACCTCAAAACCCGCGGCAGCCCTCATCAATGCCCTGCAGTGGTGACTGGTGGGATGATAGCCATGGATGTGCCACCTGATGGACAAGGCCTGAGCAGTGGTTGATGCCGACACTGGAGGAGCACGAGCATGGGGAACCGGGGGCGGACAGGCGCTGTCCCACCCGCAGAGTGACAGTGCCACTTGCCGCTGGGGAGGCTGGAGGGGCCTCCCGGAGGCTGGGGCCTCCCTAAACAGGAAAATGCTCGGAGGGGTGAGATCACAGCTCTTACGAGGGGCCCTCGGGCCAAACATACCAGGTCTCGGAGGGGAGGGGGCTGGGGCGCTGAGGGTGGGCGTGCGCAGCCCCAACCTTGGGAGTCAGGGTTCCGCGCACTCAGCGTTCTTCCAACTACTCTCACCTGCAAATACGCTGCGAAGGAATCGGAGCCGAATCGTGTTTTCTGTCCAACAGGGACAGACCCACTTGCGCCAGGCAGACACAGCCTGCTCTTTGGTTTTCAAGAGGGAACGTCTGCTTAGCTCCAAACTGTCGGTGGAGGCATAACCGATGGCTCTGGGCAGCCTTCTCGCAGGGGCAGAGGCTCGTGCCCTTGTACCCCCATCCCAGTGCTGGTCCAGATGTCCTCACCGAGAGCAAAAACAGCAGCATCGAATTCAAACGCGGAAAGCTATTTCCAGATGAGCCACTGTAGGTCTGGGGGCATTTGCACAACCCGAGACTCCAGGAGGCCAAAGGCTGTGCTCAGCGCGCCAAACGCGGTAGGTTGGAAGGCATAAATCCTTCTCCCTGACTACGTTTACAGGCAGTTTCGGTTCCAAGAGTTTCATTTTTTATCTCATCCATATGTATTCACAAAGCCTTATACCGATTTAATAAAGAGGCTTCGTTTGATAGAAAGCATACACCACGAGCTGATCCTTAGGAATACCCCAGTGGGCCTTCTCTGAGATCTGGGAGAAATGGCCTTTATTATGATACATCAAAATTCAAGCCCTTTTGAATAGAAAGCTCTCAGCTGTAGGCCTCTTCTCCATTCCCAAGCCTGCTCTCATATTTATTCTGGGACAAGCCGGAGGTGTGGTGTGACTTGTATCCAAACGTCTGAGAGAGAGGAGTCCTCCGTTAACCCAGCATCCAGCTTCAACACAGAAACTGGTTTGCGGAGAGCTGGGATTTTTTTACTCCGAAGTCCGTAGGAGTGAATTTTTTTTTTTAAAAACTGGTATCACGGACCTAAGCAGCAAATTAAATAGAGAAACAAGTATCTCCACGCTGCCACCCCCCCCCTGCCAGGTCATAACACCCTTTTTGAACAGTGATCTTCAGTGTAAAAACAGGCTTAGAACTTCTGCAGGATCTCATCTCATGATCATTATTTTTTAAAAAAGAGTCAGGTGGGTGTAACTCGTGACTTGAGGCCATCTTTTAGCGCAGGCCAAGGCAGCGTGGAAACTGGCTTCCAGGGACTCTGGGTTAAGATGGATTCTGAGTCTGTGTCCATCTCCCCGAGATCAGGTAAATCGCAGGAGGGAGGGGAGAGGTGGGGCGGGCTGCAGCGCTGACATGGGTCCCCCATCCTTGCCCGAGAACCCTGCGTAAGGCTGAGGATTTTGTCACTTGAGTCTAAATCAGAGTTGAGGGATTTGATTCTTAGTCTCTCCCATGAACAAAAACTCCCCTCAAATGTACGAGGAACTGACCCAAATCTGTTTCCCCATGAGGCTCAATGGTGGCCTTGGAGGTGACCGCCATGGCTTCCCACAGGCATGACTAATGCTAAGGGACATGCTCGCATGCGTTTCCAAGAGGCCCCCAGGCTCACATTCTGGGATGCTTTGGTCTCTCCCTGAAGGACTTCATGCTCTAAGAGGGGCCTAAGATGAACACATGTAGGAAGTCTAACTTCAAAGCCCAGCCCATAGGTTAGAAGCTTCGGGGAGGGCTGAGCCCACCCATCACAACACCCACCTATCATCTGAGCGATGGTCTTCTCATACTCTGCCACTATTTTCCTGTAAAAGAAACAAAAACATATTGGAACCATGACAACAGGACGGTTTCTCATTGATACTAGAGCCCATGTGCTGGACAGCAGCAGCCTGACCAAGACACTAGAGGTCAAGTCTTATTTATTTGTCGTAGTTGGCTTACCCCTCTAGGTTCACCTCCAACCTCAACTCTCTTCTTGCACACCCAAGTAGGTTCATTTTCCTAGTGCAGGACTCTGAACATACCACACCTGGTGCAAAACCCTCAATGTGTTTCCACTGCCCACTGAGAAAAAAAATAAGACCAACCCCTTCAGCCTGATAACCAAGCCCTCCACAACCTGAGCCTGATCATTCTCATCAAGCTTACCTCCTTCCCTGCCATCACGAACAGAGTGGTTCCATGAGAACAAATGAGTTTTTGTTGGCTCTGGGGTTTCTCGCTGCCATGACCTTCCCTGCTCTATTTCCAACTTTCATTGTCTTAGCTACTCCTCAAAGCCCCATTCAAATGCTATCTCCTCCAGGAAGCCTTCCCCGATTTCTCCTCTGAAATGCATGACATTTTAGGACTCTTCTAAAACACCTCACACATCTGGTGTCATAGTACACAAGAAGAAGAAGGTCCTCAAGGCCCAGGGCCACTACTTAGTCACCTGTGTCAGGGGCGGGGTGATGGGGAGATGGCCCTTCTTGGATAGCTTCAACAAACTGTAGCTACACAAAAGCATGAAGATCCCTTGCTTGTAAGACCGCCTCACTGCTGCCCCCAGGCAGAAAGACCCAGGCGTGAAGAAGCCCTCTATCCGAAGTCAACCTTCTGGAAGAAAACTCTCAAAAAAACTCGAGGGTTTCACCTACATTATCCAAGAGTTAGTTATTCTCCATAAGAGAACCAAGAACTGCTAACCACCAACAGAGTCAGGACCTGGATTACAGCTGGTCCCAGACACTGGGGGCTCAGCTTACTCCCCGGTGTGGTGAGGATTACCCCAGACCCTGACTTTCAGGGCTGGAGGGAGAATTAAATGAGGTTAAAAGGGGCAGTGAGCTAGGCTGGTGCCCCTTAAGGCTTGAACTTACAACTCCAAGATCAAGGGTCACATGTTCTACTGACTAAGCCAGCAGGAACGCTGGGTGTTACACACAACTGATAAATTACTGAGCACTACATCTGACACTAATGATGTACTATATGCTGCCTAACTGAATTTAAATTAAAAGGACAGTGTCTCACTCAAGGGCTGACCCACAACAAAAAAGGGGACCACACCACGGGCCCACCTGGGTTCTTTCTGAATCCTATACAGAAGCACACCTCCCTGTATCCCTGAATCACAAAGCAGTGATGGACCTTTGAGGCTGCACGGTCTAAAGCCCCCACTGTCAAGGACAGAGGTGGGACCACAGCAGGTAAGGGGTGTGTCCTTCCAGTGCACGGAGGGGGTGGTGGGAGAGACCTATGCTCCAGAGGTGCACTGGTGGCACTGTATTTGCACTGTGTTCTCACAGCGAACCCAAGGGGTGGTGTCCTGAGGATCCCCAGAATTGCTGATGGGGATACTGAGGCACGGGGTCACCCATGAACCTTTCTAGGATCAACAAAGGAGCAGAGCTAGGATTCGAATCCAGACATCCACCTCTGGAGCCCTTTCCACCCCAGATGCCTCACAGCCCCGAGGTACCTCACAGCCCCGAGGTGTTGAGATCCACCCTTCTTCCCAGATGAGGCCGGTCAGGTAGAGCTACACGAACACGCCCCACAGCAGCAAGGAGGCCGAGCCCAAGTGGCCGGGTCTGGCTCCAGAGGTGGACATGGGGGCCTTTAAACACGAGGGCCGCTGTGCCAGCTGGCGAGACCCGAATCCCACCATCCTGGTTGGTAAACAGCGCCCCCCCGAAGCCTCCAGAAATGGAACTTGGAGCCTTCCCAGCACACCCCGCTGTCATGCCCAGAGCACGCAAAAAATGACAGCCACATCATTTTCAAATGATGCCACCGCAGGGCCCGAGTGTGAGTGTGGACCCACTGAGAGTCACCTCCAGAAGTGGTCACAAAACACGTCAGGAGGAAGAAGGAACTCACAGGAGAATTTTCAGGAAGATACTATTTGACCTAGAAAATGGGATGGGATTACCTAAATCATTTGTTTGCTCCTTAAAGCAGTAGCCAGGAAGACAGCCCCTTCTGATAATTGACCAGCAGCCGCCTTGCTGTTAAGTGACTAGAAATGTACTCATTCCTCAACCAATTTTTAAAAATTCATCTATTCCCTACTTTCAAACTGTGAGACTTAAAAAGGAAATAACCCTATCAGAGATTTTCAGCATCGCACCAGATCTTCTGTCTTGGGAAAATGATCGTGCTCTAACTCCTATCTTCCCGTGCAACTGGAAAACCCATGTGCCCCTTCAGCCTGTGCTGAAGAAAGGCAGCGGGGGCAAAAAATGAGCTGCGCCCCCAGCAGCCAATCTCAGACTTGGTGGCAGCAACAGCCAGAACCCGGGATGGCGAGAGCAAAGGTTTGCGCCGGGTTTCTTTAAAAACCCTTGCAATACAGTTTTTAAGATTACACCCCAAGAGTAAGTTCTAGCTCCAGAGATGGTTTTTTAGCCTCTAAGATAATGATGAATCATGAAGGAAAATAAAGGGCCAAAAAGTGCATCAGATGGGACAAGGAGGGAGCAAGGCCTCTGGGCACTGTGTAAAGAGTTTTGGTTTGAGAATCAGAAAAGTAGATTCAAATTCACAGTCTTCTTCTTCTTCTTCTTCTTCTTCTTCTTCTTTTTTAAAGATTTTATTTATTTATTTGATAGACAAAGATCACAAGTAGGCAGAGAGGCAGGCAGAGAGGAAAGAGGAGGAAGCAGGCTCCCTGCTAAGCAGAGAGCCCAATGCAGGGCTCGATCCAGGACCCTGGGATCATGACCTGAGCCTAAGGCAGAGGCTTTAACCCACTGAGCCACCCAGGCGCCCCAAATTCACAGTCTTCTAAGTAGAAGCTCGGGTGAACTTCTGACTCTTGGTTTCTGCTCAGGTGGTGATCTCAGAGTCATGAGATCGAGCCCCACATGGGGCTCCAAGCTCAGCAAGAAGTCTGCTGGAGAGTCTCTCTCCCTCTTCCTTGGCCCCTCCCAACTGTGCTCCCTCTCTCTCACATAAATAAATAAATCTTTAAAAAAAAAAAATTTGCTGAGTTAAAAAGAGCGTAGAATAATTACATTTCCCCCTTGGAAGAAAACAAAGGAGTCTGTATAGGGAAACATTCACACATCTGCAATCAGAAATGGAAAAGTCTTGGAAGGATACCCCAGCACGAGTGGACAACAGCTACCTGAGGGGGATGGAATTGGAGGCTGAGTGGGAAAGAGATCTGGTTTTCGTTGTATTTGTTTTGCAGTATTTAGCTCAGGTGCATAATATTTTAATAACAATAACATTACTAAAAAGACTTCCACAATCAATGTAAACCTTGTCTTTCGAAGAAGAACAGGTAAGTCTTGGGAAGACACTGTTCGTAGACCGCACCAGCTCTTAGGAGACCACAGGTAAGCAATCCCCAGGTACCAGGAAGCATCGCGACTGACCTCATTTCCATCACTTCCCGCCTGCTTTCTTCGTATTTGTCCTTCCACTCTGAGACTTCTCTCTCCTTGGTTATGATCTGGCATCAGGGAGAAGAGAGAGGTGAGCCCCAGAGGTGTGAATTCAGATCTGAGCAATTCACAGACCCAAGATAAAGAGACATTGAACTAAAACTTCCTACACCAAACAATAATTGTATTGAGAGAATTTCCCGGAGCATGAGACAGAAATCAACCAGATATCAGACTCACACAATGCCCCACCGGGGAGCAGCTACAGGCATGTGCTTTCTGTTATAGATCAAACAAGACCACAGAGGCTCGTTAAACAATGGTGTCTAGGAAGATCAAAGACGGTTTGCTAAAGACGCCTCTGCCCACAGTGGTTGCAGGAGAAAGACTGTGTCCACAGATGCTGGCCTTGTGGACTGTGGGTACATACATACATGCATACAGACATATATATATATATATTTATTTACATGTGGCAGAAACCAGAGCTTTCCCAGGGCAACCAAAGCCAGCCTCCCCCGAGCCATACCCGTGGCACAGTACCTCCGCTCGAGCAATCCGGAGTGCGGAGTCCAGGTCGGGCTGCTGGAACAGAAGGCCTGCGGGCTTCTCCACCTCACTGGTCCCGATGCGGGAGTACAAGGCTGTTTTGGAGATGGAGACATCTGTTGGGTGAGCAGCTTCTCTCTGTGGAATGGTTTTTAATTAAAAAAAAAAAATTAATATCCCTCCTATGACAAAGAGGATTTGCATTCATCCCCTCGTGAATGGGTCAGTTGTATGGTTTTGAAACAAAGAACATCCAAAGTATGAGAAAATGCTTGGACTGATGAGTGGGGAAAGGCCAGATCCAATCTATGGAAATCGATCATTTGGCACCTGCACGGGCAGACAAAGGAGCTGATGGCAGGGGCCTCCCCAGCTCCCCACACTGGGAGTCAAGCATGTCTGCTGCCTGCTTATCGCTGCCATTTATCACCCGCAGAGGCATTCAGGCACAAAGCTTAAGAACCAAGGCCATTTTCCAGCAGGCCCCACTTGCAAAATAAAAGCCTGATGGTGAGCAATGCTGAACTCTCATCTACATTTGCCTAGTTTTGAAGAACTGCAGATCTGATCATTTTTGTAAGACTGTCCGCATTTCAGTGTGGGGGGTATGTGGGGGACATGGGTTGAGCTCCCTCTGAAAGGATATCCTGGCACAGAGCTTAAGGCCCACCATACTGATCAACCAGCATCACCTTCAAAAGCTAGTTTCTGGATGCCTCAAGGGAAGAGTTACTTTGCAGCTATGTTGCCTTAAGTCTGCTGTGACAACGGCAACACTGAAATCTGGGTCAATGACAGTATCCACATTTGCCGGTGAGACCCTCAACAACCGGTGGGATTCCCCACCCACCCGACACTGGTGTGACTGTCCAGGGCAGCCACGAGCCTCTTGGGAGGGAGGAGAGGACCGCGGTTACTCTCCCTCCCATTGCACAGCAAGCTCAAGCCATCTCCAGCACACCTGGAAGGCCATGTTAGGAGCATCATCGACCAGCACAGAGGGGGGCCGGTGATCGAAGACCGCAAGACACTCCCAGCCTAGCACACTCTCAGTCCTATGCAGTAACCTCCTGGTGGCCAGCATGGATGCCAGGGTAAACTACTAGAGTCCAGTTCGGTGTGGAGGCCTGGCGGTCTGCCAGTCAGAGTGTGACTGCAGCTCCCAGCGACAGTGGAAGAGACGTGAGCGGCGAACACAGCAACAGGTGGAGGAGAGAGGTCTGGAGCAAGAACCGTGAGGACCGGAAGTGGAAGCAGAGGCGATTAAAGACCCAACAATGAGGGGGGAGGGGGCGCCCCTGAAGGTACTCTATCATTGCAAGAACAGGCAGGCTCCCCCTAATTACAGAGAAAATGAACTTGAAACAACTTAGAAAACTCAAGCAGAAATTTAATGGATAGGACTGGAGATGACAGGTTAGGCCCAGTTAGTTGTACACATGCACAGTGAATGACGTGGTTTTGGGCTGTCCTAAAAAGGGGCCTGGATTTCCCTGGCTCGGGGGGCGGGGGGCTTCCGTATTTGGGCTCCCTGCGCAGGAGGACCCTAATGATTACTCCAGTCAGGGAGGGGAGGGAGCGTACAGCACCCCCGTTCTCCCAGACCCTGGAGATACGCTCTCCTGTCCAACGAGATGCCATGATCTTTCCATCCCCAGGTCCTAAAGAAGCCTCCATTATAGGACATTTGACCAAGGCCCAAGGGCAGGCAGGCTGACCTCAGAAGAAAGCACGCCCTCAGACCATAGCTGCAGAGGCTCCCTTGTGCCTGGGTTCATCTCTGCTGTTTGAAATGTTTTCAGGCCTCTACTTGTCATATGGGAAACTTTTCAGGAAGTAAACAGAAAATTATACCCAGAGGTCTTATTTTCCACTCAGGTCAGGACCTCAGGATTATGAGATCAAGCCCTACCCTCCTCAGGTTCTGTGCTCAGCAGGGGGTCGGCTTGGGAGGCTCTTTCCCTCCCCCTCTGCTCCCACCCCCGCTCCCACTGTCTCTCTCAAATAACTAACTAAATGTTAAAAAAGAAAAAAAAGAAGGAAAAAAGAAGTTACACCCAGACAATAAGACTCTACTTGTATTTATGGAGGAAATTCATAAACACAAGATTCTGGAAAAAAAACTGTTCATGTCACTTTTTAAGTAAAATGATGTGTCCTTTGAAAAAAATTAGAATAAAATATCAAAATGGAAAGAACACCAACCACCACCTAGCACATCGTGGGCCTTTGGAAAATGAAAAAAAATGGAGGATTTAAGGGATATGGCCAAAAGGTATCCCAGAATGAGATTCAATTCTGACTCCAAACAAGCCGGCTCTGAAGGGCGAGGGGAAATGGAGTAAACCTGACTTCATCACGCTGGGCAGAAATGAAATCCGACCAGGGCAGGAACTGATGATCTTCAAGCTGCCTAAGTCCTTTGTACAACAAGGAAGGGAATGAAAACTAAATGCATTAGTGAGCTTTCTAAGTAAACACAATGATTAACCACCACATACAGTGACTCAGGACCACCTTTCACCCGCGCCACCTGGTGTTTTCAATAAAGGAACAGATGACTTCAGAATCCATTTGAATTACTGCCTGGAATATCTGCGTGTTAATGAAAATCAAGGCACACACCCTGGTTTTCTCTGACAACCAAGAATCATTTCTAAGGGAGATAGGCTTGTTTCTCGCTGATATGTTAACATCAGGCTTAGATTAAGCTCTGTTTCTCTAGCATAATACTCCACTGGCTGCCCTAGGGGAGCCCAAAAGCCAAGAGAATCACAAATTAAAACGTGAAATAGCCACCACTCAGAAAGAGCATGAGCTTCTGGAACCCACTTCCAGCCCTGCAATCCATTCACTCGCATCTGGGCCCCTGCGGGGACCCCAGGGTGCCGTCACCCTCAGACCTGCAGACCGCCTGCCTGGGGCCCTTCTGGCCTTGCAGTCCTGCCACTCACACAGGCTAACGCCCTCCTCGTGGCCGGTTCCCTGTCGCTAGGCCTCAGGGGAAGCTGACCCTGGAACCAAGGCGGGGTTCCAGTCTCTGGGAGTGGGCTGGCCCACGGTGACCATGACAGGTGTGTACGCAGTGTGGACCAGGATTCTAGATCAGGCCAGGAGACCACGGCAAGCTGGGCCGAGTCATGGAGAGTGGGCCAGGCTGGGCCCTTGGGTGGAGCAGGGGGCGTCCAGGCTACATGACAGAAGCTGGGGCAGGTGAGGGCCCTCTCCCTGGGGAGCTGCCGCATCCAAATTGGACAGCAGCTCAGGATGACGAACAAGAGGACACTCGGTATGTGCCCCAGTCACACCCACAGGAGGCACCACCAGCCACAGACTGGCCACTTCTTCCCACTGAGTCAAGACCTGGCCTCGATCCTCAACACAGGCTCGGCCTGACCACCAATTCCCCAAACTGGCAAACAGTTTCTGAAACCCAGGGGGCGCGCCTCTGTCCCTGCTCTCCAGACGTCCTGCAGCTTTTAGGCATCCCGTCGTGAAACACCGGGGGTGCTGGGTGGTTTCTGGACACAGCACTAGAGAAGGAGCCCTGCTATCAGGCCAGTCACCAGTTCAGGTTGTCCCAGACCTAACTCCTTCCCTGTTCCTGGAAAATCCAGGTCTGCCTTTATGGGCCAGGACTCCTGGAGGAGAAAGATTAGCACCCTTCCCCTCCCGGAGGGGCCCGCTTCTGGGACTTCCTCCGGTCCGGCAGTTTGCCGTCTGTATGACCGTGGTTCCTACAGGACCCACACACATCCCTCGTTCTTTATATTTGGGTCCCCTCCTCCGGAAAGGTCAGTGGCTTTAGGGATCGCCACCAGTATCTGTCATATATCTGAACGAAATCCATCCCCCACACGCCTTGTGCCCCTCACAAAGCCACACAGTCGGGACACTGCCCTTCTATCCATCCTGGTCACACTCGGGGCTGCTGTACCACAGCCGGCCACCCCGGTCCGATGAACCCCGGGAATGCAAGTGAATCCGAATTCACTTGAGCCAGACGCGCTCCAGCCCAACACTCCAGCCCCACGGAGCTTTCCTCTTCTCTGACATTTTCTGACTAACGCGACAGGAAACCCCCCTGGGTCCTCGGAAGGTCAGCTCAAGGTCAGCTCCGCCGGCTTCCGGTCTACAGGGAAGCGGCCCATGAGAGCGACAAGGAGTCGCCACCGCCACATTTCATGCCGCTTTGAGCCCTCTGAGTGATTCCTTTTCATTCCAAGTGATTTCATTTTTGTGTTAGCAACAGTCTGAGACCACGCTGCCAAAAAGACTGGGCTATGTCACCTGCAGCCGAAATTTATGGGCAGAAAAAAGAGCAAATTGGATACACAGCTGCTGTTTCTCTCCATCAGCGATTTCTGAGGCAGCGAGGGGCAATCAAGCGTCTACGTGAGCAAGAAACCACAGGAACCTGAAACGTGATACCAGCTACCGTGGCCGAGACAAAGGCTCCCCACACTCCCAGACAGCTCACCCCCACCAGCATTTCTTTTAGCAGATCCTTCTGAGATACATAAGGAGGTAGCTAGGGCCCGTCCCTCCAACCTACACGAAGTGGATTCACGTGACACTATTTTCTACATCAAAAGCAGGAAAGAGGGTCGGAGAACAGGCTGTCGTTGACAGAAGTCAATGGCCGGCCAGTATTTGCCGACCGTCATCTCTGATGCGTCCCCAAAGGAAGGAGGCAGGGGGGCACCAGGCACTCCAGAACATTCCTCGCTCCATCTGAACTCTTACTAGAACATGCTCAATCCTGTCTCAACCCTCTGGACAGAAATATACTGTAGTTACAGAGGTCAGACCTCAAGCCATACGTTCTGTCCTTAAGCCACTCCCCCTAAGATATCAAGAAATAAATCTAATGGGGGAACGATTCCTCACTGTTTGATGCTTTCTAAAAATCTTACTCATGGAAACTAAACCCAACCTCAAGGGCTTACAACGAGAACGGGAATGCCAGCAATGTGTATGAACGTTCTTGTCCCTGTGCTGGGTCCCAGTATTCCCAGTCTGGACACCCACAGCGGGACTACCTTCTTTCACTGAGAGATGTCTCTGAGAGGGAGCGCCCCACCTTGTGGACAGTTCCCAGGGGAACCACATGTGGGAGGCCTTGAGGGCAGGAGCAGCCCATAAGCTCCTGATCTTGGACCAAGTGAGCTGTTCCTTGAGATGAGACAGGCAAGGGGCTCCTATCTGAAAACTGTTCCCACTGGGTCAGTGAATCACTGCTGGGCCTTGGACCCCATTCCATGACTCCACTTCCCCATAAAATGGGTCCTGGACCCCTCCTACGGCAGAGATGCTATGAGTGTCCAATCAGACAACAGAGGCAAAAGTGAAGGTCAGTTACCAAGAGCAGCTGTCATTTACTGCACACCTACTGTGTGCCCGGCACGGTGCCTGTTTTCCACACATCATTTGCAGCCCTTACAGCAATCTGCAAATGCACGGTTAGTAGCCTCATCTCACAGCTGGAAAAACGGAGGCCCAGAGAGGTTCACCAACACGGTTAAGGCCACAGAGCACGCCAGGCTACCCAGCAAGGTACGGCATCAGGTGGGAAGGAAGTGGCCTGAACCTCAGAGGACCACAGTTTTGCACGCCTTCAGCAACTCGTTCAAATTGTTAAGAAAAATTACTCCAAACTTGGAAGCCAGGCAAAGAAATTTCTGCATGCTCTGTCAGTATCTCACTCTAGAGCAGGGCTTGGCCAACGATGGTGTGCGGGCCAAATGGCCCAACGCCCTCTTTGGTAAAGAGGGTTTGACTGGAACGTCGCCACCCCGTTCATCTACACATTGTCTGTGGTGCCTTTTGAGCTGTGACTGTAGAACGGAGCAGCCATGGCAGAGACCAGATGGCCCACGAAGCCTAAAATATGCACCATCTGCCGTTTAGAGGAAAGGGTTGCCTTGCTCTAATTCTACTGACTCTGGCCTAAGGGGCCGTCTGAGGTCTCAGGAAGGTCTCGGTTTCTCTCTTTAGTATTGATTAGCGCTCCGTCTCCGTACGGTTAGATACTAACTTGTAGAAAACAGGAAGGCTGCAAATGATTTCTGTTCAGTGGAGAAGCAAATGATTTTCGCAGAACACAAACAAACAAAAAAACCTCCAAGGGTATATTGCACTGTCTTGTTTAGCCAGTATTAACCGGTTTTATAGCAAACCTTGCAGTAAGGTCACAGTTAAGATTCTGGCCTTCTTTGTTCCCCTGACTCTACACTGGGTTCCCCCATTTTCCTCCACTCGACCTGCTTCGCCGCCCTGCTGGTTCCTTCATTACCGAGTTAAGCATATCTTAGACATGGGCTCAGCGTCTACTTAAGCAAGAGTTACGCTTTTAGCTTTTTAGAAAAATTAGACGGCTTTGTAGAACACCGGCATTGCCTGCTTGGCCAACGGTTAGCAAAGAAACCTCTGGACCACACCACATCCTCAAGAGGCCGTGCACAGCAGCAGCAAACCCGTACCTTGGTGTCCTGGCGGCTACGGGAAGCCAGGGCAATCTGCCTGGCTAGCTTCAGAGCTTCTATCCGCATGACAGCAAACTCTAACTCCTCCTGTCCGAGGGGCGGGGGGTGAGCAAATCGCAGGGGAAATGCATCAAGACAAGACGTCAATGTGTCCCACATCCAAGAAATGAATGTGCCACGTGAATGTGTCATGACAGGTACTCAGGAAAAACACACGCTCTGGCTTTCTTGCACAATTAACACCTCAGCAGATCATGAAACAAGTGTTTAATTTTTTTTTTAATTGCCCTTCAGAATGTCTGTTGGGAAGGATCGTGTGTTCAAATATGAGATGATTTTTAAAATGGGATCAAAATTTTGACTGCACTGTTTCACTGGATTTCTTTCCTTTTTGTTTGTTTTACGTCAAGATGGTCAACAGTTTCCACAAATGGTTTCACATTCTCAAACGACTGTTAACCATCCCTCCATGTTTGCTCTGAAGTTCTTAGTCTAGAGGGTATCAAATTAAGTTGTCAGGTTTAAGGCACAGAGTAGCTAATTGTTTTGGTTCCAGATGTGAGACTGAGTCCAGATGTTATCTCAATGGGAGTCTGAGATAGCCTCCCCTCCCTTTTATACAAACAGCTTGGCTCACTGGTGATCTAATACCCTTGGTTCTGTGAATAAATCACAGACACTGCTTTGGGGGCTATCAAAACTGAGAAACGACTCTTTGGGTCCAATTTCCCATTTGGAATACAAATCGTTTGTCCCATCTGTAATCACACAATTTATATCATTTTGGCGTCTTGGATCAAGAACAGCCATCACACATCAGTCTTTGAGGTAGAAGAGATTTCATCTGGAGCATTTCCAGCAATCCCTCGTTAGATCCTGTCTCACTGCATTTGGGGCTTGGAGTTCATTCTCTACTGAGGTTTTCACAAACTCCCCAAAAGGTCACACGTGGGCTACAAACCTGAAGTTTCTGGGCAAATACTGGGGGGTTCTTTTCTGCTAAGTCGGGTTCCAGATAGTCAAGCGCACCACAGAGAGAGGCTGGATGAGCTAGCCTGCTGAGGAGGGCGTCAGCAGAGGCAAAGGAGCCCTCAGGAGCTGTCTGAAGGCCAGAAGAGGACACAGAGGAAAAATAGAGGAGACACAGAGTGACATCGATTCCAAGCAAGGACCATGCACCCATTTGCTGTACATTTCTGACTTAACGTTAAAGAGAGCATTAGTTAGGTGACACTACTTTCCTTCTCATCTGGACTAATTCCCACCTGCTGGTGATGGCATCTTGAGATTGACGGGCTCCCGCCCTCCCATCCCCCAAGCCTTAGCTGCACACTCACCCCCCACGTCACCCTCACTCCCTAACGAACCAGTGGGATGGAAGTTAACATTTACTTAATTATTTGAAAGTCTTGGTGGGGGAGACAAGGAAGTTGATGGGTTTTCCAAACATAACATAACTCATCAAGAAAACACCTACAAGTATGTGTCAAAGGTTTTGGTAAAGGTCATTTTCTAAATAATAGAAAGACAATTTCCAATGAAAAATTGTCTCTGGGTCTATTGGGAAGACTCCAAAGTCAGAAGCCAACTTTGTAGAAGTTGAATCATGCTTGAGTCCTTCCATAGTGTCTTTTTGAGAGACTGAGTCCTATCTACTTTCTTCTTGCTTACTAATATTTTTCCAGCATCTAACTGCCACACAGTAGGTGCTCAATAAATATCTGAAGCATGAGACAAATGGTCAACTAATACAGAACAACAAAAGTAACACTAAAAGTAACTAAGTCAACAGCTTCAAAGCCTCTTGGGGAGGAGGTAAAAGGGAGAAAAATAAAAATTCACCTAGAAGGATGGCCCGTTTTAGATATTCAGGGAGTCTGTTGGCTCTGCAAGACTCCAGAAGGGTTGGGAGGGGAGGGATATACAAAGAGGTCTACAAACAGGAGGGATTTCCATCACCAAGGCCCAGGAGAACCAAGTGGTCCCTAAATGAATGTCCCCTGCTCTATCATTCTCTGCCCTTGACCTAGAGTATGGAGAAGCAGGTACAAACTGATGTTCGTTCCAAAGCAAGAGTCCAGCCCCAAGGGACTAAAGTGGCAAATCAAGAACCCTGACGGCAAATAAAGCAGTGAGGTAAGAACTACAAAACCACAGAGAATGAAGAGCTTTTCTCTCACGGCTAGGGCGTGGGGTCTCTGAGGCTGGCTTCTGTGGTCTGGGGGTTGGGTGGGGCCCCACACCAGGTGCCAGGTGCCATCCCCTTGGTGATGGGACCCAGCTGGCCCAGGCCTCACCCGCAGTGATCTCCGGTCCCTCCGACCCCACTTACAATTTCAATTGCGTCTGAAGCAGTGCCCAAGGTCATGGCCTCCAGCTCCTTCTGGGAGGATTTCTCTGGCACCTGCAAGTGTGGCTCTTGGTTGGGTGCCATTCCTCGTGGGACAGGATGCTGGATCTTTGCCCCTGCGTTTACAAGGGCTTCGGTTTCCTCAAAACTTGACCTGAGGAAGCAAAGAGCATCTTTGTCTCATTGGAAATCCCACTGAAACTGACCAGGATTGAGTCCGGACTCAACCACCCTCCCAAGGCATCCCACGCTTCCACAGCTGCGTTCCCAGAGGGAAACTGGGGAGGGTGCTGGGTAGTCAGGGAGCCTGTCGATTGGACAACCTGAGGGAGAGCGTGACCCAGCCCCATCTCAGGGCCTGCAGACAAGGGCCGGTCAGGAGCACAATTACTCCTAGCTAAAGGCACAAGCCAGAGTTAGGCAGACTGTCCGTCCCTTGGCGGCACACACTGGGGGAAGTGACTGTGTACTGCATCTCAGTTTCCTTTTCTGTAGCACAGGAGACCTCGCTGGGTGAAGGTCAAGGGAGACACTGCCCACATATGAAGCACCTGACACGGTCCCCGTCACCATGACTATTGCTGCGACAACATCACCACCATCTTTCTCAATACCCTCAGTGGATTCAGAAGTGTGTCTGGGAAGTCAAAGCAAGTGCCTTCACTTCTGCTAGAGAATGGTGCAGGTAAAGGGATGGGAGGGTCCCAGCCCCAGAGCGGTACCTCACCCGCACCCACCCAGCACCACCGGCTCAGAACAGGGCCCTAACCAGTGCTGATTCACAGCCACGTTAACAGCGAACGTCTCCCTGGCATTGCGCTTTCCTTATAGCATCTGTTTCATCTTCTCGGTGGCTTCGGAAAGCAGGCACCCCCAGCCGAACGGCACAGTTGTGGGGGCTGCCTAGAACATGGAGAGCCTCATTTAATCCTCATAAAATTTCTACAGGATCGGTTTTATGACTACCCCCTTTTACCCACGAGGAGATGGCAGCACAGGGGGTCAGGGAACCTGCATCAGGTCACACAGCTAGTAAGGGGTGGGAGTAGGACTGCGGGTCTGAATGCTGTGGCACGCTGCCTTCCCATGGCTCAAGTCACAAGACCATAGTGTAGGTGCGCTGGGGGGCGGTGATGGGAGGGGCTCATGCATTCAGCTGTTTACAGGACAAAGGGCAGCCGATAACACCCTCACCCACGTTGTGTGTCCGTGGGGACACTCAGAGTCCCGGAAGTGGGCTGCGTGAATTCATCCACGCAAATGAAACCATGCCAGGATAAGCAGTACCATGGGGCTCAGAGGCTTGGGGACGGATGGCCTGACTCGAAACACTCTCCTCCTGGAAGTCATACCCTGAACATGGCGTTGGGGACTCCGATGTCCGGACGGAGGGAGACTTGACCGGGCTCTCCTGAGACGTGTCAAACATAAGGTACAGGGCCTGCTTCTTCGGGGCATCATCGTCCTGCTGCAGGGATCAAAGGCACAGGTCAGCTCGGCCGCAGGTGGCCTGAACACACCAGAGAGATAAAAACCGGAGTTCTCTTCTACAGAACAAATAACTCTTCGGGGAAAAGCCTTTGTTCTTCTCAAGCCACCCAGAAGGGAGCAGCAAGCCAGTGCGGCCAGGGGAGAGGAGAGGGAAAGGGGAGGGAAGAGGAAGGTGGAGGGAAGAGGAAGTGTGTGCTGCCGGGAACAGTGTCGAGGGGAGAGGGATCGCAATGGTGTTGGGGTGCTGCACACTGTCCGCCAGCATTTCCTGGCTACCCCTTCTGGATGGCCAACCATGGGGCCACTGGGGATAAATACAGGGATAGGCAAGACCCCAGCCTGGGACGGGCAGACGGAGGGGTGAGGGGACGAGCACGGTGGCCCAGTGTGGAGAGCAGCTCCACCATGTTCTGCCGACCAAGGGTCAGGAGCCGCAAGCCCAGCATCTACAAATGATGCAAAGAAAGACAAAGATACAAGTCATATGTCCAGGCCACTAATGTCACAGCAAGCCCTTCTGGTGCCTCCGGGCCTCTGACGGCATCACTGGACAACAGCACGACGCAGGAGGTCCTGCTAGGAGCCAAGCACCCTAGAGGCAGCAGAGAGTAAACCCGGGGTCTGCCACCCATCACAGCCACTTAAATGAGAAAGGGATGGCAAGTGGAGGTCGGGGATGGGGGGACGTCTTGCCAGAAAAGCCACTCTTCAGTTACATAAAGCAATTAATTTGAAGAAAACAGATAATCGTACACCTTAAAAACCACCAACCCAGGGCTGCACCTTTTTAAGAAAATCTCCGACTAGTTCTTCCTTAACCTAGGGAAATAATGATGAAGGAAGCCTAACTGCATTCTCATTTGCTCCCTGAAAATGCCACGTGGAGCGAAACAAATATAAACCTCCAACCCCCCGTGGTCCCAGTTCACCCTTACTGTGCACCCAGGACACTGCGGGCACAGAGGACCCCCCCTGGATTTGGGACCCGAGCTCAGGAGGAGGCCAGCGTCTGCGTTTTCATAAGACAGGGAAGAAAAGCCAGTCCGCTGCTGGCCTGAGGCAGGACTTACAGGTAAGGAGGAGCCAATCTTCTCCATATATTCAATTTCATAGGAGTTTCTGTAATCCAACTCTGCAAAAGAAACAAAAGGAGAGTTAGAGACTGGGGGGCGGGGAGGAAAGGTCTGGGCCAGGCAGGGTGGGATCTGGAACCAGACTCTCAACTCTGAGCTTATCCACTAACTCTCGAGGTTTCTGAGTTGCCTGGAAGGGGAGGCTCCGCTCAGCCCTTTTCAGACCACTCGTCAGCCTCTTGCAGCGAAGGGACTCCTGACATTTGGGCGCCCGAGACAGTCCAAGGGAGTTAGGTGTGAGCAGCGGAAGTCTGAGCTGGGGCAGATCTGGGCGCCATGCACTGAGTTTTCAAACAGTCTATTCTGAGTCCACGTACGACATGGAGAATGTTCCCACATCGCTACAGCATTTAGAACGGGCCCCTCCGCGGTCCCTCTCTGAGAATGCAGCCCCCGCCATGCTCCAAGGCAAGGGAAGAGCATACATTGTTCCTACAATGTTGCTTGTTAAGAGAAGCTTCGCAAGTCCCCTGGAACATTTCCCAGAACCCTGCCAGCGCCCACAGGGCTGGTCCCAACCAGATTTCCAGATGCAAAGACTATGCAAGTCCAGTTAGGTGGAGAAATGACCTATTTCAAACAGACTGGAGACCAGAGGCTGGAAGGGAAGCTTGAAAAACTCTCACTGGAGACTAGAAGCCCTCGGTCCCTTGGGTCCCCAAGCGGGGGATCGGGGGGGGAGGGGAGGATTCCACGAGGACACCCAGGTCTGCCTCTCAGCGGAACTCCCTGTCCAGGGAATGGATTCCGAGCCCGCATGACGTGCCCCAAACCGTTCTGGGCACAGTGGCTATAGAGGTGAACCAACCCAGAAAGGGCTCGATTGTCTCAGAAGCCACATTCGCCGCTAACAGATGGCCTCTCCTACTTGAGAAGAAAACCAAGAGGTGCCACGCGACCCGCTCAGAAAGCAGGTCTGCAAGAGCGTCCGTGGCAATCCCTGAAGCTTGTTTCTATCAGAGCATGGGAAGAGCAGTTCTGCGTTACAGCATCTGTTTCTCCCTATGGTTGAAGGTATTGCTTAAACAATGATTCCTGAATCTGAGCTCTAAGAGGACACATTTCCTGGAAGACCGTCCCCAAACCCGGGAGCATGTGGGGATGTGGCCATAGGAACTCAGGCAGTGAGAACACGTGCAGGGCTCTTGAGTCACTGAAAACTCCCTGGGGAAGCAAACGCCTCCTGCCCGTTGGCTTGGCCTGCCCAGGGGAACAAAGATGGTTTTGCGGATTAGTGGGCCAGAAAGATCCCATGCGTCCCGTGGGCCTCTGTCCTCATTCGGGCGTTGCTCGGGAAGAACAGAGAGTGTCTGGGCTGCAGTTCAGCGTCCGGGACTGGAGTCGGTATCCGTTCTTAGGGCGCACAAGGATTTATGAAGACTCACTGTCTTCCTTGTCTTGTAAAGGCGAGGTAAGTGAGGGACGGTGAGAGACCCGGTGATTTCTAGAGCCCCCTCCAGATCGCTCACTTTCCAGATGTAGGACCTCAGGGCTATCATTTTATTGTCCTATTAAAGACTGTTTTAAGTTGAGAAGATAACAGTGCATCTGCGGCCTCCTTCGCCAAGGTATCATTATCAGCGCCAAGGCATTATTCAACCCTAAATTGTGTAGCAGAACCCTTCAGCACACCCGCAGTGGCACAGAGCACCCAGGATGCACCAGACAGGCTTGGAGCCACCACAGGGATTTTTCCAGGGACTGAGGCCCTGGGTGCGTGCCCAGCTCTGGTGACCAGCTTGACTAGGTCATGCGTCCCGCTTGGAACCTTAGCTCGTCCCCTGGCAGCTGATCAGGGGGAGTTTCAAGTCACCAAGCTCACTTATCTGCCTTCTTTGCCACCTGCCGATGGGGTCTCCCTTCCCATTGCCCATTGCCCCCCATCCCGCCCCTCAGAGGTAGCAGGTAGCAGTAAAATAGTGGGGGATTGTCTGACCACCCCCCACTCCATCCCAAGAAATGTCTGCCTCATCCACGGGAGCTTCTGTTCCTGGTGATGCCCGGAGATGTTCCTTCAGCACAGGGCCTGAAACTTCCAGTAAGAGCCATGTGGGGTTCTCACTTATTATTTACAAACTGGCGCCTGGGTGCATCAGTCAGTTAAGCGTCTGCCTTCGGCTCAGGTCATGATGCCAGGGTCCTGGGATCAGGCCCCATGTCGGGCTCCCTGCTCAATGGGGAGCCTGCTTCTCCCCCTGCTCCTCCTCCCCTACCTGCTCATGCTCTCTGTCTAATAAATGAATAAAATCTTTAAAAAAAGGCCTGGAAAAGGTGTGAAGAAAAACAAATTCTCTTCTTGTCATTGATACCATCTCCTGTGCTTTGAAGGAATATCTTCCAGAATGTTGTTTTCAAAATCTCACTCATCTGCTCTCAGTCTTTCAGGGCTAGAGCCTCTACGGGTGGGCTTGGAGGGGGAGCCATGTCTGGCTTCAGCTGTGGCCACACACAGCTGAAAGGCCAGGAAGGATGACGCCACTTACACCAAGTGGCCCAACACCTTCACGTCCAAGAGAGGCATGTGCCGCCACCCGACGCAGAGGCCCAAAGGTATTTTTAATGGGTCCTGTCATCTCTGAGGTTGCTTCCAGTAATCATTTCATGCTCGTCAATGCACTGTGAGGGGGCCCGGTGGCTGTTCTCCTCCGACTCTGGCTGCCAGAGCTTGGCTGGGGAGTGGGCAGAAGCTGGAGGATGCGCTGAGCCCAGATCGTCATTCCCAGAATCGGGGCAGCCAACCCCCTGGCTTCCCCTGCCTACTGACTTCCCTACAAATGGAGCTCAAAGGGCCTCCATGTTGCAAAAAAGTTAATGATGTCAGGTAAAAGCCCTACTGCAGGTTACACAAACGTAAGGGATTGTGACCCCATATGTTACACGGCTCATGGCTAGTATTTCTGGAACTTTTAACGTAAGTGATGAGAGAAGGGACCCTTTGTTAGGGGACAAGGATGTTGCTCCCAACATCCTCACCGTGACTCCTCTGAATGTCTGTAGTGTGAGAGCGATGGCACCCGCCAGAGAAGAAGAGTTAGGCTCTCGAGGGGGGCACCTTCCCCTCTGTTGGAGTGGGAAGGTGGGGGCAGAGGGCAGATGTCCCTGCGTGTTAGGGAGACAGGGTTGCTGGGTAATCCTCAAAAGCCCACCAGACTTGTGATTCTAAGGCACTGCTCTCCTTGGGTCTCTTGGACCAGAACTGGCAGAGGCTTCGGAGGCTCCTAATCTTGGAATCCCTACAGACGGCAAGAACTAGGATTTTCCCCACCATGTTTCCAAGATTGTGCAAGAGGCCATTTCCTAAGCAAGCGTCCAAAGAAAAACATTTGAAATTGCCAATCTGAGTTTTTAATCAGTGGGAGATGATCAGTGTTGCCATGAGCTGATGAAATTACCGCCCAGACACATCCTTTTAATGAGCCAGGCATCTTTCTAAACTAGTTCCATCCAGGTTTCTCCAACTACTCCAACAGCGTGAAGCTCTTGTGGGCCCAGTTCGGGAAGCACCGCTGGGTTCCACACCCTCTTTCTAGAGACGACGACGAGAGGAAGGCAGCACGGTGCTCACATGCAGAAGCGTGGCAGGGAAGGGCAGGACGCTGAGGAGTCCGGCAGCCCAGATCTATAGGGACTCGCCCCACATCGCTCAGCAAGTTGGCCCGGCTCAAAGTCTGGGCTTCCTTGCTGCTAGGTGGGGAGGAGCAGAAATCCACTCTCTAGAACTGAGAACGAAATGAAATCACGTATCCAGGAGCCTCAGCGGGGCTCAGAGCACTGCACCAGTGTCAAGCCCTCCCTATATGTCACTTTGAGAACTGGCCTTCTAGCAAACACCTGTTCGGGGGATCGTTATTTCTAACCCCAGATCTCGTTTTCCTGTGATTTGTGACTTCCGTGGAACAAAGCCTCAATCAAGGCTACAGCTCTGGCCAGATTCTTTCTGGTGATGACATCAGCACCCCTGGGGCATGTCTGTACTTGACCTCAGTAAGTTAACAGGAAGGACCATCTGATAGCGGGGCTGGGCATCCAGTTTCTACACCTGACCGCTGGAGGGAAGCAGGCTGTGGTCAAAAGGTGAATGCAGGGTCAACACCTCCTGAAACTCTAACTGTCCCTTGTACGTACAGATGACAGTTTCTGATTGCCCACCAGTTGTAATGACAGTTGGGACTTCCCGAATCTTCCCAATCATTTTCTAAGAAGGCAGGTTTAATAGAGCTTTGTTTCAAATGTAGAGGTTTACCTATCGTTTGAATTTTTGCAGAAAATAAGCAATGATCAAATATGTCACCGAGCTAGTGAGTTGTCTGTTTTGGTTCCATGCCAAAGACAGACAAACATGTTAGTATGGATTGGGACACCGATCAGCTTAACAGGTACTATTAAGATCTTCATATTTTCTATTAAAAATGCAAGTACTGGGGTGCCTGGGTGGCTCAGTCAGTTAGGTGTCTGCCTTCGGTTCAGGTCATGATCCCAGGGTCCTGAGATGGTGTCCCACATTGGGCTCCCCGCTCAGTGGGGAGCCTGCCACTCCCCCTGCTTGTGCTCTCTCTCCGATAAATAAAATCTTAAAAAAAAAAAAAAAAACCATGTCATCATCATTACAGCATCAAGTAACCCCAGAGAAGCCCAAGCCAAGCATGGGAGACAGGACACAGGGCACTGCGGAGACAGCCAAGCCGGGAAGGAGGTGCACACATGGGGCCAAGTGGTTCCATCCAGCGGGGCTCGTGGCCCAGGTGTGTGTGCAGAGGAAAGGCCTGTGGAGAGGCAGAGGCCAGGACCCAGGGCCCCTGGGGTCAGGCTGCAGTGAGATGGTCACTATCAAGCCTCCCAAACCCCATCCTGAGGGCAGCCCGGAGAGCCAACCAAAAGGCTCTGTTCTACAGAACACACAACGCCAAAACACCCAACTACACACCCCGCCCAAAATGAAATGGACCTCACTCGTGTCATTCAGAGACTCTATGGGCACAAAGCAAGCTGGCGAGTGGCCAGGACACGGGGGCATGCCAAGGAAGCAATACAAGCTACCCACTCTCGGTTACACCACCGCCCTCGGGGAGGGAGCAGGTGGGGGTGGGGGGAGGGGCAGGGAGGTGGGGGCTCCTTAGCAACAGCCAAGAAGGGCGGGTAGATTTTCAGGTACGGTGGCCGTCATATTGATTTCTACTCATTTTTTGGAATGGTTGTATATCAAGAGCTTGGAAAGGGAGACCGAGAACCATCCCAACAGTCCCGAGTGCTGGAGGGAAGCCCCTAGAGGGGCTGAAGCAGGAAAGACCACCATCACCATCAGACCACGAGATGGTTTCAGGCCCCAGTAGTGTTCCTGACAAAGAAGAGAAAGTGTGGGAGCCAATATAGAGATTCAGAAAAATCACTGTTAGCGGAGTAAGCAATTTACCAAAAAAAAAAAGGAAAGAAAAGAAAAGAAAAAAGTCTTGATTCACCCAATCATGCTGTGCTGACTTAACACATGAATTTTTCAAGCCAAAGGATCAGGCAGAAAGCTGAAGGCAAAAATACACAGAGGAGGAAGAAAGATATTGATGAGCAAAGCAACACGCCTGGGGTCCCGTTCAGGAAAATGGGCCTCTGGTTGGCAAGCCTGGAGTGAACCGTCTGATTTGGGGGCTTGAGTGGAAGGTGTGGCTCCCACTGTGGAACATGCTATGGGGCTGATGCACAGTGGTGGTCCAGGGAGACCCCAGACCTGGGCAGGGCTTGACCCACATGGAGCATTTGGCTTGACGGTGCTGCCTACAGCTGGGATCGTGTTTCAAAATCACGCAGGCGCATAAGCCAGAGAGTGAGCAAAGCTCAAGTGAGCTCAGGACGGGAACTGGGGGACCCTGAGCTGACTGGCTCTCGGCTGGCATCTTGGGGTTGGGGTACAGCTGGGTTCAAGCCTTAGGCTGTCTTGAAATGCAGCCTTAGCTTGGAGTGCCTGGATGGCAAGGAGACCTGGCTTGGAGGTTTTTTTCCTGACCCTGTGCTCCCCAGGGAAGGTGGTCTCCAAGGCAGGGTGGGGGTCCGGCCACCACCAAGGGGCTTACCCTCTGTGGGCGAGCTGAATTTGGTGTCATTGACGAAGGTAGACAGGTCCGAGGGGTGTGGGTAGTCCTGCTTGTCAGCCTCCAGATCCACAGTCACACACGTCCACTTCTGGTTGGTGACCGCCAGCTTCTCCTCATCGGTGGCGTGGACCACCGCGGAGATGACCGGCGTTTCTGGTGTCGCCGCTGGCGTGGGGTCCTGGGAGCAAAAGAGAAGCAGTCTCTCCTCTCACACGGTCTCTGGTCCCCAACGGCGCCCTCCCACCCGGGTCTGCGGTCCCTCCAGCCAGGACAGGTCCCCATCAACGTCCTAAGCACGTCCTTGGACTTTGTTCAAAATGGCCCCAAGGATGCAAATTCTTTCCTCTGTGAATTCCCTTTCCTGATGGGTTGTTACTGGGGTGGAATGGGGTGAGGGGGGTGACCATGGGTTTAAAAAAAAAGAAAATCAGGAGTTTGTGTCTGGGTTATCAGAGTGAATGAGGAAATTTACTTATGGGCACTTTTATTTACTGCAACTACTGTGTTACGTCCACACAGTGCTTTGGGGCCTGTGAACTGATTACATCAACATCGCCTGGCAATCTTCATGCCTGTCCCCAGAGGATCTGCATGGGGCGGGGCAGATGAGCACTGGCAGGGAGCCCAGAATTGTTAGAGCCGAGCTGGGACTGGGACCCCAGACTCCTCTCCCGGGGCTGGGGCCTTTCTCGGCAGCCCCACCTGCTCCGGTCTGCTGGCTGGGACGTCCCTGGCTCCGATGGGGGCCCGACACACATGCCCGAGACCAACCTTCTCGGTGTGTCATGGTGCAGATCTATCTCATGAAGGAACTAGTTAGAGGGGAAAGGGCCCAAACCCCACTTCTTCAGGGCGTGATTTCCTCTATCTCCCTGCTTGGATTTTGGTTACACAATCCAGTGCTCCTGACACTTTCTCACTAGATCTTCATTTGCCTCCAAGGACTTTCTCAATTTGGTATTCACAGGAGTTCTCAGCAGATGAACCGACCAGAATGGGTCAGCGTGATTCCTCCAGAACCCACCTAACACTCCCGCCGAACACCTGTCTTTCTACTCTTGAGACACGCTCTCATCTGCCCCAAAGGGCAGGGATCAAAATGATGTCTTGCAAACGGCAAGGGAGCCCCCAGGTAGGAGACAAAGAGGATGCTGGAAACATGCCCATGATGAGCAGAAAAGAAAGCTCTGTTGACCAACAGGGAATCAAAACGCATGGGCTTTCGCTGCCTGGGTGAGGGGTAAAATCAAGCGTACCAAAAGGATATCGTACCTGAGAAGGTGGATCAGAGAGAGGAGACCGTTTTGGCGACCTTTTCACCCTAAATGTGTCACTGGAAATAAAACGGAGAATGTGAACACAGCAAAGAGGGTTATAGAACAGTCCAGAGCTACAGAGCGACCGAAGCCGTGCCCTCCGGCCTCTGCCGCCGCACACCGGCTAAGAGACGTCCACGCTGACAATCCATCCCAACCCGACACCAGAGATCATCGCTGCCCCCCAGGGAAAGAGTTCTCGAGCTGGAAATCTTTTAAAGAGATGCCATTTTGGAGAGCTGGCCCAGAACACGCAGCTAAAATTAGCCAGATGTTCTTATTTTAAAAAGCAGATTTTGGTGAGGTTAATGTATCCAGATTCATCCAAGAAGGTCTGAACCAAGTGAGGTGCGGGGCAGGGACCTTGACTGCTGACACGGATGAGCGGGACCCCACTGACGGACTGGCAGGCCGACACAGCGCATCACAAACCACGGACAGAGCCAGAAACAGGAAGAACGTTCTGGGTCTTCAGGGAAAGTCCCATCCCGCTCACTGGAACTCAGAGAGTAAAGGATTCCAGCATCTTGGCACTTCTGGGTGAGAGTCTAACCAGAGGCGGGGCCAGGGTGAAAGGATTCTTTTTTAAATTGTAGCGCAGTTCACACAACATACAATTTACCATCTCCGAGTGCCGTCGACTACTTTCACATCGTGCCAGCCATCTCCAGCGCTCTTCCGGCATGAGAGGATTTCTCTACAGTCTATTCCTAACCACAGTTAAGGACTCTTCCCTCCCTTCCTTTTTCCTTCGTGTAAATAATTAGGGGCAGGGGCAGGTCACTCAGGGCAACGGGAACATCAGATCAGACTCGCAAAGGGGTCAACGATGGAGAGCATTTTTAGCATAGATGGTTCCACAGAATCACTGAGCGGGCAGTGGGGTCATTTCCCAGGCAGAACGGAGGCCTCCCCACCTGCAGCCTGGCCCCCGGTCTCAGGCCCCTGTGTGGTATGGTCTTGCCTCCAGCAAAGCAACAGGTTTTTGGGGTGCGGGTTGTCCCCCGATCTTAGACCCCACTCCTTCTCCCTGCTCTAACATTAACTGGATGGACAGGGCAATTCAGCACTCAAGTTCCCTCCCTGTGTCCCCTTCAACGGCACGCTCCAGCAATGGCATCCAGTCATGAAAAACTACAGAAATGGTGACTTATAGCATTGACAGCATCTGCCTTGCTAGCCGTGCAGCCCTAGCCCGGAGCACATATTTACCCATGCATATAAACATGTAACCGTGTACTGGAGAGTTGCTAAATGGCTCTAAAAAACTCAAGAAATCCCTTGGTCAGAAGCAAGCCTGACAGACTCGACCCTATTCTGGGGGCCGCTGGAGGCCTGGGACCAGGCCAGCTTCCCTTGTAAGACAGGGGGCGGAGGGGGGTACCTGTCTTGGGGCCCCTGGGAGCTGCCCACAGCGTCCCTCCCATGGTGGCAAAGCAGTATGGGCACAGAGGGGTTGGCTCGGGCTCCACTGACGCCCAGCAGGGTGGCCCGCAGTTGGCAAGCCAATGGAAACCCGGCCTGGTCCTGGGAGGCCAAGGATGCGGGCCCAGAGCAGGCTGGCGAGGGCTCTCACAGCCGTGCACTCCACTCCGAGCCCACCTGGCATTTTAGGGGATCTCAATTCGAACCAGCCCCACGACCTCCACTTCATATGGTAGCTTGAACAAGTGACCTCGGGCCGCTGCTGTGGTCGGCCAGGTGGTTATGTCATCGTGAAGCCACAGAGCTTTGAAAGCAATCGCTCCCTAGTCCAGTTGGAAATGAGAGAATGGAATGAAAGCTTAAAAGAAAAAAATGTATGGGTTTCAGATGAAGACATCCAATATGCAAGGGAGAAAAAAAAGTTCCATTCCTGACAAGCAGACAGATGTGGATAATCACATTTTCACAGCCAAGCAGTTTCACTTATGCTAATCGCTCTGGAACAGGAACGTAAGTCTGCTCCTGGGGAGCCCCATGCCCCCCACCGTCCCCAGGCCTGACACGGAAACCATGTAAGCAGCAGCCATGGAGAGGAAATGGAGAGAGCTTGAAAGCAAAAACAGAAAGCAGAAAAGCACAGGTAGGGTGAGAGGCAAATTCCATCCAATTTACTTACAACAGAGAACACACAGACATCACATCTTCAACCATCCTAAGACAAGAAGACAAGAAAAGAGAGACAGACAGAAGGAACTGACAAAAAAGATAAATCTGCAGGCGGCCGGTTGTCAGTGGGTTGGGATACAGGAGCTATCCCTGTGGCAAGCATGGCCACCGTCCCTGCTTTCTGGAGAGGGGCTGTGGGAGAGCACCTTCCTCTCCTGCTCCCGATCACCCCATAGGTGCCAGTGCCCAGAGGGCTTTGTCTCACCCATGTGGGATTCCAAGCCTTCGGCACTAGAGGTGAGACCCAGAGACGGGCTGGCTTCCCTGACCTGTCAGTTAGCTCTGATGGCAGAGCAGACGGTACCAAGGCTACCCAGGGGGAAGGAAGTGATGCGTGATGGCTACAGGTTGGCTCTCGGTCCAACAATGAGACATCATAGTTTTGTAGTCTGGGCATTTCAGACTTCTGTTCGAGGCATTGAAAAAAGCTTCCAACACTGCTTTGACAGAGTGTCTAGGAAGGGCCTGGCTGGGAAGCTGATCTCAGAAAAGTCTTGGGATCCACGGCTAATGCCTGCTTAGAGAACCTCCTCTCAGGAAGCCCCGAATGGGAGGTAAAAAGGTCACCTTGTCTCAGTCCGTACCAGGCACAGTCAGAGAGGCCAGAGGCTGTGCTCTCGTCTGCCGAGTTGGGGCCAGAAGCCTGGTCTCTGGGCCTTGTTCAACTACTGACCATACTTCCCGGGAGGGCAGGAGAAAGGCTCTAAGCACTGATCCCACCATGCTGGGACCCATATCCTGAGCAGGGACCCGCAGCCGTCCAGGTGACAGTTGGGTCTGGGGATGGACGCCAGAGGCACTGACATGGAGTCCTAAAGGGTATTCTACTCGGCAGGTGTCTGGACAGCAGGATTGATTAGGAATGGCCACCCAGTGACTGTTTTCTCATTGATCTCCTCTGGACCTCCCAGAGGCTTGGAGTCTTGTGTGCAAAAGATGGCCAGAAACAAGAATGAGGACAAACGAGGTACTTCACATGGGCTGGCTGCAGGGCAGGGAGGGGTCCAGGCCAGATCTCTCGCTCCAGGACCATTAAAGGGCAGACACAAATCCTACAAATTCTAACAATATTTTCAAGGTAGCTCTCCTAGCTTGTAGGCCACCCCCAAAAGCAATTCCCATGCTAACCAGGGAAAAGCTAAGTCACCAACGGAAGGTTGACCAAGTCTTTACGGGACAGTCCCTTCTTTATGGGCCCATCCACACTCCCCTGGAGTCAAATGTCGGGTCTGCAGCTAAAAATAATGCTTTAAACCACTGTCAGAATAAGACAAAGGATCAAGGACTCTAGACCCAAAGGGGTATGTGGCGGGGAAATGCCACCACTGTGGGAAACAGGGAAACAGGTACAGTGTTGCAAACCTGGCAGCCTTACGGCAGACGGAGGGAAGGGTCAGGGCAGCCACGTTCATCCAGACACACAACCCAGGATCACAGCCAACGCACAGACCCGCCTCTGGTCTTACCACCTCGCACCCTTGAACTTACGTCTTTAAGGGGGTCTTCTTCTTCTTGGCGGGCTTGTTCAGCCCATCCCCGTCCGCTCCATTGGCTTCGATGGCACTGGCTGGGATCTCAAAGGAGGCTGGGGATTTAGAAGGCGAGCTGGGGGTTTTAGAGGACGTCTTAAAAGGGTCAATGGATTCGTCACAGGCATCTGGGTCAAAGTTGTAGGACTGCTGGGGCAGTGTGGGAGATTCTTGCATTTTTGAGGTGGAAGAAAAAGGGTTAAAATTGGGATCATCCCACTTGTCAATATCAAAGGTGTAGGTACCTTTGGCGATAGGGATGTCGTTGGGTTCATCGGGGGATCTGGTAGGCGAGGCAGGAGTGTTGTCGAGTTTCTCGGGTGTTTTTTTCATCTTTGGCCTCCTTAGGGGCATTTTGGCAACAGGCTTTTTGCCTAGCTTTTTGGTAGGAGGAGGGTTTTCCTGTTGGGTATCCCAATTACCCTTGTCCTCAGAATAGTCAAACTCCAGCCTCACCGAGAGCCCTTTGACTGGGGAGTCCTCCTGCCCCCCGCTATCTGATGGGGTCACCTCCACTGCTTCCAGAGCCGTGGTAAGGGGCAACGTTTTCCTTCCAACCGGAGGTGAGTTCTGCACTCTGCCACTTCCAGAAGATGGGGGGACGGCCCCTTCGGCACCTTCGGGGTCCAGAGGGCAGGCGGCCTTGGGCACAGCAGTGGGTTCCAGGGGCGTCTCCTCCAAGAGGGCTGGGACAGAACCCTCCGTCTTGGCCAATTCCGGTTTCGTCTCTAGTGCTCGATTCTCCTCACTGGGGACAGGATTCTCCTCCACTGGCTCCTGTTGTGTCTCTTTCACTGGGGGGGTTTCGGTGGGTTTCTTCGTGGTCTGCTTCTTTTTTAAGGAAGGCGGCCTTGGCTTTTTAGTTCGCTTAAGGGTGCTGGAGGCACTGCTTGAACCCGTGCTATATGCATCTGGGGCCAGGGCCACGGCCTCAGGGTTGCCTGAGCAAGAAGCACCATCAAAGTCACTGGCTTGCAGGCTGAGAGAGCGGGACAGCGTGGACTTGGAGACGGGCACAGAATCGGTGGATTTCCTCCGTGTGTTCACTTTGCATTCCTGACTCTTAGAGTCTGTGCAGCGGGGCTCCAAGGTCTGGAAGTCATCCACCAGCTCGATGCTGTCAAAGTCTAAGTTGTAAGTCCCGCTGCTGGCTATAGGCTTGTCTTCATCAAAGACGGCAGAGAAGGAGTGTGACGGGGGGCGGAAGGGGCTCCCTTCCACCGAGCTGCTGCGTGGGCCATCAGGGACAGAGGCCGGCTCGGAACCGCAGCCTGAGGAAGAGGAGGCAGAGCAGTCACTGAAGGACACAGGACACCGGAGTGTTTCTGCCAGACTGCTGCCCTCTGAGCAGAGGCCCCAGCCCCCTCCCCCAGGCCCCCACTGGGCGGGCACAGTGCTGGGGTACAAAGCCTGCTCTCACCCATCACTACCCTCCAGGAGGGTAGCCTTACCCTCCGGTCCCTCATCTGTAAAATGGGAGTGATGAGGGCTGTGTAGGGAAGAGCTCAAATCATTCAGTCATTCAGAAAAAACCTTTACCAAATTCCCAGTCAGGACCAGGCACCATTGTGGGAGTTGGGGACTCAACAATGAACAAAACAAACCAAATCCTCACCCTCCCGGAAATTACATTCTTCAGGGAGAGGACAGTTTAGAAACAAATAAGTAAGATGTATAGACTGCCAGATGGTGATAGGCACTACAGAGAAAAATAAAGACAGAGTAGGGGCATCGCAATTTTAAAATAAAGTGGTTGGCAAAGCCCTCCAAGGAGGAAAAACATAAGCAAAGATTAGAAACAAGGTAAAGACATGAACCAGGAGGATATCTGCCCCCTCCCCACCCTGCCCTGGGAAGGGGGAAGCATCATAGGCATCAGGAACAGAAAGTGCAAAGGCCCTGGGGTAGAAGCACACCTGGCATGTTAAAGAAATAACAGAGGCTAGTGTGACTAAAGCAAGGGAGAGGAAGACAGTCATTACTACCATCAAGCCTGTTTTTGACTACTTGGAGCTTGTGAGGAACAACAGGGAGACTTTCTGTGGAGGCCCCCAGGCCACTGAAGCACGCCTTGCCTGCCACCTGTCCCTACACCAGGCATCCCTTGTAATCTCTCCCTCCAGCTCTGCCTGCCATGCTCCCCTTCCTGGCCTCTCCTCCAGTCCAGTACCTCTCCTCTCTGCTGCTCTTCCTCCCAGCCTGTCCACCCCCACGGCCACTGCCGGCCACAGAGGCTGCTCCGTCACCTCATGACCCCACTGCTCCATGGAGTTCTGGCGATCCTGGCCTTGGCTCGGCCACACTGGGCTCTGCCTGCACCAGCTGGTGCCTTTCATGCATTTCTGGGTTCACAGCTGTCCTGGGCAGTCAGCACGCCAGAAAACGATGGGCCAGGAAACTAACAATACGTCACTGGACAAAGGAGGACAAATGCTGAGAAGAGGTCTGCAGAAGAAGGGACTGGAGAGTTGGCACAGGTATGGCCTGGGACAGTGCTCCCAAAGTTGTGTCTCACTGATGCGAGTTATGCCCCCAACACCCACCCTGTGCCCGGCTGCAACAGAGACCAGATAAAACACAGGCGTTAACTTGGAATTTCAGATCCTTGAAAAAGGGTTTTCGTATAAATTTGTCTTGGTAATTCCTTGTTCATCTGGGATTCAGATGTAACTGGATACCCTATATTTCCGTTTGCGGAGTCTGGCGGCCCCAGCCCTCATCCCCACACACGGACATGGCTTGGGACGTGCTCAGCTAACCCTGAACAGGCCTCTCGCTGGACATCTCAGAGCAATCCGTGCTCGCGACTGCGAATGCGAGGGCGGGGCGTGCTCCTGCGCTGCCCCAGACTTGCTCGCGAGCAGGCATTTCTCTTGGAGCACCTGACGGAGAACCCGGCCCAGGACATGACCACGCAAGAAAGTCCAAGCTTCCTAAGTTCAGGACTGCGTCTGACTCATCTCTGGTCTTCCTGGATTGGTCACACTTTCTGTTGCGGGCTCAGTAAACACCTCCAGAATCGAAGACACCTTCTGGAAGCAGGTGCATTCATGGTTCTAAACGTTCTGGTCTCTCCTACCCCCGGCGCCCCCCAGGCCCTACTTGCAGCAGATGCCCTGGAAGATGGGGGTCACTTCCTTAAAGCCTCACATCTCTTCCACCAAACGATTCCTCCCTCACCTCTGAAACACTCCCGCTTCCTCCCCATCTCAAAAGAAGTCCCCTCCCTGCTTCTTTCCAAAACCAACTCCCTCTCTGCTTCCTCCAGAGCCTGGTCTCCTCAAACACCCCATCCTCCTGCCCCGACACATGACACAGGGGACAGAGAAGGACCAAAGGACCCAGGGGAACAGGGGCTTTCAAGGGGGCCTTGCAGGAGGGAGAAGGAGCCTCAGTCCATCCCACTGTTTCTAAAGCGAGGCCCACAACCACCAGTCTCCTCTCTCTCAAGCCACCCCGGGCCTCCCGAGACCCCTCAGACTGTCAGTGGTTCCCCAGAATCAGGCAACAGGCCACCATCTGCTCAACTGACCCAGAAGGAAAGCTCCTACCTGCTTACCGTCCTTTCCTCTTCAGCACTGATATTCCCGAATTAACTCATCACGGACCAGGAAACCTAGTCTTGCTGCAGGGTGTCTCGGCCTTGGCACTGGGGCCACATCGGGACGGCTACGTGTTTGGGGGGGGGGGTGCTGTGCCATTCACTGTAAGCTGTCAGGCAGCATCTTCAGCCTCTTACCCACAAAAAGCCACTGGCACCCCAACCCTAGTTGTGACCATGTTTTAGGGGCGCCTGCGTGGCTCAGTTGGTTAAGCATCCGCCTTCGGCTCAGGTCATGATCTCGGGGTTCCGGGACCACGCCCCACATTGGGCTCCCTGCCCAGCAGGCACTCTGCTTCTCCCTTGCCCTCTGCCCTTCTCCCTTCTTGTGTGCTTGCTCTCTCTCTTTCAAATAAATAAATAAAATCTTTAAAAAAAAAGTTTCCAAAAATTGCCAAATGTCCCCTTGAGGGGCACCGCGATCCCTGGCTGAGAACCAGTCTCATTGTGTGGTCGTTAAGCAGGTCGTTCCACAAGGCCCATTACAGGGCCAAAAGAGCCTGAATTAATCTGAAGACGGGGGCCACGAACTACCACGTGGAACCCAACCAGGGCCTCTGCAAAGCCCACACTTCCCATGGGACAGTAAGGAAAGGTCTAGAATGGGCACAGTGTCTCCAGTCACCTCTAAGGCCCCCACATGGGCCTTCCCGGGTGGTCTCCCAGCGAGCCTAAGAAAACTGTCTTCACCCCAGGGGGAAGCAATGGCCCTGGAGGGAGGCCACCATTGAAAGAGCCCACCTCTGCACCACGAAACCTGGTTCACGGGGTCACTGACCACCTGCTTGCCCTGACAACCACTGTGTCCGTCCTCTGCCTCGGGGTCCTTACAAGTACCAGCGCACTCCACCTGCACACAGCAGCCTGCTTTCCCAACGGAAGGGAGTCAAGAGGCCCGGGTTCCTACCGCGAGACGGAGGGCGAGGTCTGGAATCCGCACGTCTGACTGGGGAAGCAGGAGATGCCATCTGACATGCAGGGATGCTGTAAGCACGGGGCGGGACGCTCAGCTGAGTCGGAGATGACACCCCAAAGAACTCAGCGCAGGCCTGGCCTCAGGGGACACTTCCAAGGGAGCTACCATTTAGTGATGCGACATTTCCTTCTGTCCCTCATCGTCCAGTTCTGCACTCTAGGAACACGGCCACCGGACGGCAGCCGCACGTTGCCATCCCAGGACCAAGGAAGGTCGGAAAGGGAAGGAGGACCTCAGAGGGCTGGCAGGCTGCCCTCCTCATATTACGGGTAAGACAAAATCAGGCTCAGACAAGCTGCATCCTGACCCAGCCCAGCCCAGACAAAGGGCAGACAGCATCCCCCCCCACCATCCTCCTGTCCCATGGGGCAAAACCATGCTGGCTGGACCCAAGGCGAGGCTGGTTGTTCCCAACAACGTGAGTTTCCAGGGGAGCAAATCATGTCTTTATTCATAGCCAAGGGTCTAGTCTGTTAGTTCATGTGGCTCTTCCAGCACCTTTAGCAATACCCCGGAGGCTTTGCAGAAGAGAACCAAACACCAGATATGCTCCAAGCCCTTTCCTCCCAGAGGTTCTTGGAAAGAACCTTTCTTCCCCTCTAACCACCTCTGGAAGCGGGCACACCTGCGTGCTCACGCCTCTGCTGTGCCCCATACTGTCTGCAGGATGGACGAGCAGACTTTTCTAACAAGGGCTGCAAATCAGATGGCTCTTTGCACAGCCCAAGCCCAGGGCGGGGTGGGGGGTACTTTGAGCGGTCACGGTCCCAACCGTAAGAGTCCTGATTGTGGAAGCCATGGATATTTAGCTTCAGTGCAGTTTTCCAAGAAGGAGAAGCACAAAGTCCCTGTTCAAAGACTCCCACTGATGCAATCGAGGTTCTGTGGGGCTGTGACTCGTGGCGATTACCAGCCCCAACCCCTTCCAGGTGGGGGTTTCCTCCTAATCCCCTGCAATGCTCATTTCGTTCTGAAGTTGCCCTCTAAGAGAGAGGCGGGAGCTGCACGTCTGTTTGTTTTTAAGAGTGGAGACTGCTCTTTGCTTTGTTGAAATGCAAGTCAGGCAGAAGGAAAAAGGACAGACCACAGACAAGAACAGAAGCAGCAAACCATCCCCAGACGCTGTCAGGATACGTGGCTGGAAATCCCAGAAGTCGCACATGGGCTCACAAAATGGGCCTTCCCTGTTCACTCCTTGGTGCAGGAGAATGGACCGTACGCTGTAACGCACCATCATTTTCTTCTCAGTTCTTTCACAAAGTAGCCCACGTATCTGTGGGCATGAACTTGTACCCACAAAAAAAAGGATGGTTGATTTCCAATCACATGTTTGATCTAGGGATGACGATCTATTTGTCATTCCCTTTCCATTAAACCTAAGGGTGATTTTTTTATAGTATTATAAGAAATGACTTTTTATATGCTTCATAATATGAAAGAAAAAATGGGAATGTTAAAACCCTCTCAGCAGTCCTTCTGGTTCCTCCTCTACCTTAAAATCAAATAAATTGCAACGATTCCTCTCTCAGGGCCCAGCCCCTAGACTAGCCATGCAGAATCAGATACTACTAGCTGAGCTATCAGAGATGGGAGAATATAAAAGCGGCATTTGTCAGACACCAGCAAAGACACCTGCCCTCCCCCCAAAATGGTCCTAATCCTTTCCCCCAGGATTGGGGAGCCTATCTGGTTAGGAGGGGCGCCTGGGTGGCTCAGTTGTTAAGCATCACCCTTCAGCTCAGGTCATGATCCCAGGGTCCTGGGATAAAATCCCGCATCAGGCTCCCTGCTCGGCAGGAAGCCTGCTTCTCCCTCTCCCACTCCCCCCACTTGTGTTCCCTCTCTCGCTCTGTCTCTCTGACAATAAATGAAGAGCATCTAAAAAAAAAAAAAAGAATCAGCCTCCAAGTGTCCACCCTTTCTAAAGTAACAGCCTATCTGAACGTAGGACAGGTAGAAAGAATTCTGCCCATTTCTTTGTAAAACCAACATCGAGGTCAAAATATTTGACTTTACAGTTCACCAGGCTTCTGGCCAGGGCAAGAGTATGAATGGAGGCCCAGCCATAAACTTTTTCCTCCTCTTCCCACCCCAGCTCTATCCCTTACCTGGGGTGGCCTTGAGCACAGGTGTGTGGACACCCCACCTTGGTTCCTCCTTGGCTGAGAGGTATAAATATGGGTACAGTCAGCCTTGGGAAGATGGGCCATGAGAAAGGGTGTCCAGAGTGTCCAGAGGGTGGCTTAGGAGGAGATGGGCCCTACAGCCTCACCACAGAGAGAGGACTGTGGCTGGAGGAAAGCCAGAGTGGGGTCCACTAGAACACACAACCCAATGCAGGAAGGTGGTCCAGGTCTAAGAATGGTACCGCCTGGCTCCCTGACCAGTCTGCTGGGCCAATTCTGGCCGTCCCCATCTCCTCCCAGGTCTCGTGTTAAACTTTCACACTGGAGGTGTAGCTGGAGGATACAGGCAAAAAAACCTGGCCAGGTCGGGGGCTGGGGAACGAGATCTGTCCCATCCCCTCGCACCTCCAGCAATCACAACTGAAAGGTATGGAAAGATCCACGTTTTAAGTCTCACTAGGGGAGAAAGGAGGCAGGAAAGTGATATGAAATCAGGTAACTTGAGATTAACGAGGAATAAATGAACCATTCATGCATGGGTTTGGCTATCTATGGCTTTCTCTTCTTTCCCATTTACTACGTATCTCCATTCCCAAGCCCAGGGGGGCTATGGTCTTTCATAAAAATGCAGATTCATGTGGGCTGTCAAGTACCAGTGCTCTTATGGGAGCCAAGGGCCACATATTAGAATCCAAGATAGAATCCCAAATAAAAACCTCCCAGACCCACCTGTCCCCTTAAGCCCCATTCTGAATGCCAAGTAAACGGTACCCAGAGCTAAAGAAGGCGTTTCCCACAGGTCTCCCCTAAACACCTTCAAAGCAGACAGAATAATCGCGGGATCTGCTCACTCTTAGTTTTCACTCACAAAACAAGCTCTGAGCAGAGAGGGAGCCCCCCTCCAGCTCCCCTAGCCCAGGGCTGCTCCCAGGCTTCCCCGAGGGGAGCACCTGACCTTGGTTACCTGGTTCTTCCAGAGGGGGCTGCACGCTGACCTCAGGTTCTGGAGTGACTTCGGGGGGCGGCGGGGGAGGGGCTGGTGGAGCTTTGACAGGAGTCGTTGACTCGGGGGTCTCAAATGCTTCTTCAGAGTCAGAACTCCTGATGGAGAGAGGAGGAGAGAAACGGGGTTAGGCAGGCGTCTGGGCCAAGTTGGCTCTGAGGGGCCAGGGGCCCCTGCTGCTGAGGCCATGTGGCCCTCGGATCCCTGCCTGGGACCCCTAGAACCGGGCTGGTTGCCCAATTAAGCTATTCGAGGACAGATGTGAGGAAAGTCATTTCCCAGCATGATTCCCAAGATTGAATCTCATTATCACCAGCTTTGTTCCCAAATGACATATGCTTTGAGCTTAGCCCTATGAGAAATACGTATTTCTGGCCTCAGTGACAAAAACAAACGGGAATCTTTGGATTAACTCTGGCACCCAGTCGGTCAAACAGATAGTCCCAGAAACACATTTCTTTGCCATGGTTCCAACACATCATAGGGTCCCCACTCTGTGAAACCAAATCGCGTACAGCCTTTCCACATCCATCATTCTCTCCTGCCACCCTTCCTTCCCAGAGCTTCTCGTAACTTATTGTAGATTTAGTCACCTCCTAATTGTGTTAATTATCTTTCTCATCTCCTGAGCTTCAAGGCCATGAGGGCGTCAAGCCTTACTTATTACAGCTTCTCTGAGCCTAAGCCAGGAAGCAGTGAATACACATCTGTTGAATGAATGAGTGAGTGAATGAATGAATGAATGAAAGCAAGCTGGCAAGCCAGCTCTCTGGAGGATGTGCTGGACCAAGACACAAACACAACCTGCTGATCTCCATGATACAATAACAACCACTGCCACTCTACCCGAAGGTCTGATCTCAAGGAAAATTCTTCATCCAGAGAACTGGACCAAAATTTCACCCACAGGACACCCACCCCACCCAGAAATAAGGGGGAGGCTCCTCAACCAACTAAAGCTGTGTCCTGGGCTCTGGAAAACCCAGAGTGAACAGCCCTTCTCCAGCACCCGGCTTCTACAGGGGGTTCAATTTTAAGCCAGAAAGAATGAGACTTCCCCAAATCATGGAGCCAGGCCTGCGTCCTCAGGCCGCGGGGCAGCTCCTCCCTTGCTCAAATGCCCAGCGGGGCACGGTCCTGGACCAACCCCACTCAAGGTTGCCAGAGTGGCATCCCCTGGGCTGAGTCCCTACTCAAGCCATCGTACAGAGACTAAAATGCCACTCGCTCATTTGCAACAAGCAAAGTCATTATCAAGAGAGTGGATACTCAGGGCTGCTGCTGGCACGTGTGACCCAGCTGGCAAATCTGGGTGAAGACGTGTAACCAGAGGTGGACGAGCCAGGAGAGCACGGAGCATGGAACACTCTCGCTGCTGAGCTCCCAACAAGGTCAAAGCACTCGTGACCTCTGCACAGGGCAGCCTCTTCTATAGATCGTCTGCCAGCCGGGAGAGAGAAGCAGGAAGCAAGCCAATCCCTCCACCGTCAGCCAGCACAGGAAAAAACAGCCATTTGGGGAGTTCTCCTTCAGATAAATGGACACACTGATGTTTTTACGACTTGTTAGTGACTCATTTTACCAGCGCCAAAGACCCCATCCCTAAGGATCCTGGCTCCTGCAACCCACCACAAAGCCCTCCCGGGGCCCAAAGAGATGAACAGAAACACCCAAGAAGCTTTTGATGGGCTCCGGGGAGCTGAAACTTGCACACTATCAAATTTCATGAGGAAAGACTCAACCACCACACACAGGACAGCCGGTGCTGACTTTTTACAAACATACGTTAATATCAAAGGCCTTAGCTTTTGTCCAGGGAAAGTGAAGATACACACTTGGACAACAATAGATCAAGGTACCTGAGTTTTGCAAGGTCCGTTCACTAGCATGAAAAACACGAGGAAGTTACACAACGGAGTAGCAAAGAGAACCAAGAGTTTGGATCACCCCGGTGGGCCCCAGCTGTCACCCTGCCCCCAGCACAGCTTGCGTCAGGGGCAACACTGACAAGACGTACGGAGCCAACTTGCCTCTTTCCAGAGCTTCCTTGAAGGGCCATCAGACTGGCTTCTCCACTGCTGGTCACTGCTGTCCACATCCACTGGGCCCACTCCACCAGGGGCCACATCCGCCAGGAGGCAAAAGCCATCTCTGCCAAAGGATAGCCTCTGTCCCCTAAAGTCCCACCCTGATTCTCTGGCCGTATCTCTGGGATCTAAATCTGTCCAAGATGTCAGCAAGGAGTTCGCCGCACTGCCGGCCACGGACGCCGCGAGCTTCCCCGGCGTGCAGCCGGGACACGGAGTGAGAGGCTGCGTGCTCCTCCCGTGGCTTCTGTAACCCTGGGCCCTGGCGATGCACAGCCTTAGAGCACAAAGGACCCCTGCTCTTTCCCTCAGCACGAGCAAGCAACAGGGAGAGCCGGATGCTCTTGGGTCCGAGCTGCTGAATTCCAATGAGGTCTCCCAGGCTGCAGCTGCCCGGCCCGTGCACCTGCTCGGAAGGACCGCCATTCACCACCGCCCTGTTGGGAGGGAGACGGCCCATCAAGCCCCTTTGTGGCTCCTTGCCTGTTGACCATGAACCGTTTCTGCATCAAAACAGCACGGGGGACCGTGAACCACGAGAATGGGACTCACTTCCGGTGATGCCTGCGTTGTGTTCACATTTCCGCTCCCTCTCCCAGGAGCAGAGAGCAAGTTAATTAGAGGAGGCGGATGGCAGCTTTTTTAATTAGCTCTTTTCCCCCTGTTCGGTTTCCCAGAGGGCTCAGAAACATTTCCGAGAGCAGGGATTTCTGCAGTCCACCCACAAAGAGCTTGTACATAAAAATAAAGCAGCACTTTGGAGGCCCAAGGCGGAAAAGCAGCTCCCCATAGCCTGTTTGATTTTTTTTTTCCTACTAGGAAAAAACCAAAGTACAATAAATGATTCTGTTATGGCTTCACACACTTTCCAAAGGAAATTAATTTGCTGCAAAGATGCATCAGAAAGAACGTGCCACTCCAGTCTGCTGAAACATCTCTAAATTAGAGGAAAATGCATTCATCAGGATAGACGGGTGCTATGTTATGAGATAAGCAAATATGCAAATGCATGCAAATAAAATGAGACATATGTCTTTCCCTCATGTCAAAAGCTAGCTCATAATGACCACGTATGAAATATGGTCCCAGCATGAACAGCTTTATAATGGTTATCATATGCTCAACTTTCTGTTACATGTCAGGCACTGGGCGAAGCCCATTTGCATCTCATCTTCAAAACCAGCCCGCCTGCTAGAGAGCAGGCCCACTTTACAGATGGCATCACTAAGGCTTAGGGAAGCAAATTACTTTGCCCTTGGCCATCTAGTTAGCATGCAATGGCAGATGGGCTCAAATCTAGAACTGTATGCCTATAGGATCTGTGTTCTTTTCACTGTCTTGGTGGTTTCCAAACATTCTCAACAGCAGAACTCTTCTTCCAAATGGATCCCCTGTGCGGAGCAAAGCAGTATTTCATTTATTTTATAAGCTCAATTGATAATATATTCTTATGACAAAGTCTATCACTGGGAATAATAAAGCTGTCTTGGCAAACTTGAAAACCTGACACCAGGGGTCGGGGATGCCAATCGCAGCATCAGACCTGCTAATGGCTTCCGGGCTGCACGTGACCAGGCAGTCCTGACACAGACTGATGACTGACTGCAAACAGCACCTGTTTTTTCACGGCTTGTCCTAAGAACGCAGGATCTTCTTGAATAAGGCAGACAGGGCCGAGTAGCTACCTAGCGGTACAAAACCAAGTTCATCCATCCCCATAAGGCAATATGCTGAGGATATCCAACCCCACGCAGTGTGGTGTGCACGGACGGGAAGGAAAGACAGAAACGTGTAACCCCAAGGACAGAGAGACTGTGCTAGCCACCAAAACCAAACATGCCAACCTCCCAGCTGTATGTTAGCAAAGTTTTAAGAGTATTTTTTCAAATATTTTTTCAGATTTCAGAGAATCTCTAGATAGTTCTGAGCTCCCACTGAGCACACAATGAAGAAATCAGTCCCTCCACAGATGACGCACTGTATTAAAATAGAGCACTATGTGGAAACTGTCCCCAAAGTGAGCCAGCTGGCAAAATGTAGAACTCCCTAGGGCCTGTTGCCCTATCTTTTTGCTTAACTTTCAATATTTTCAGGTTTTCCTTCTATGAACTATAACAACAAAACAAGATCAGCACCCACCAAAGAATATATTAATGTAATATAAGTTAGCATAATAAATGATAAAGTTAGTATAATAAAATCACATATACACTAAAGTATGTGTGATGTATACATGTATAAATAAAATAGGATTATCTCTTTTTTTTCAAGATTTTATTTATTTATTTGACAGAGAGAAACACAGCGAGAGAGGGAACACAAGCAGGGGGAGTGGGAGAGGGACAGCAGGCTCCCTGCTGAGCAGGGAGCCCAATGCGGGGCTCGATCCCAACTGGGATCTTACCTGAGCTGAAGGCAGACGCTTAACAACTGAGCCACCTGGGAGGCCCTCTTTTTCTTTTTAAGTTTATTTACAGTCCCTACACCCAACGAGGGTTTCAACATGGGGTTCAAACTCACAACCTCCCCAACAAGAGTCACACGCTCTACTGAGTCAGCCACGTGCCCCCAAACCTGGGCATCTCTTACTAAAGAGACGCTGTAAACGTAGTTTTTCAGCTTATCATTAAACAGTTACGTTTTGCTCAAGTTTTATAGGAAGTAATTCAAGGGCTCGGGAAAAGAAATCTCAGACACTGTAGAATGAATCTTCCAACTCTGAAGATGGAAGAAAATGTCCTATTCCGACATGCTTACCACGTCCTTTTAAACAGGAAAGGAAACTGAGGCCAGGAGAGCTGCGGTGACTTCCCAAGGAAATCAGCCCGTTTGGGCCGAGCTTTAGCTGGGCCTTCCACAGAACCAGTCTGCTTTCATTAAACGCTGCCTGCACATAAGAAGGCAACCCCCACCTCCTAGCCGCAGTGCCCCACCCCCTGAAAATCTAAAGTTACCTGTACCTACGTGCTATCTGATTACCAAGAAAGAGTTCATTCTTCTTTTTTCTTTAA